GCTGTTGAGTCAGAGGTGAAGCTGCTGTGCCTTCTCAGAAAGAGAGGACAGAGATGCTTTCCTCTGTGCTATCAGAAACAGGGGTATTACCCCACTCTGGTGGTTTTTGAGGCTCATAGATTCCTGAAATCAACTTTCTCCTATCTAAAAGAAATCCACAGGGTTAATAGCTAGAGGCACAGAGCTAAAATGTGATTTTGAGAAAGACAAGAACAAGACGACGTGGTATTTCTACAGAAGAGAAAATGGGCTTGGAGTTTTAAAAATATCCTTCAGAAAAAAAACATAGCAATTAAAACTACTGAGCTGACTGAAGAAGCTTCAGTATGGCTTTCCTCTTACCAAGCTTTTATTGCTGTTCTTTGGAATATAATTGGTGATAATTTTCTACTTGGAGTCTGACACAAATCTTACAAGTACTAAAGGTACTTGGAAAACAAAAGAATAGGTTTTATTTCTCTTCATAAACAATTTGCTGTTGGAAAAAACGAAGCCTCTTGAACGACTCCAAGACTTCAACTGCTTGTTTTAATTTCTCAAATAGTCCTTTCCTGTGGTTGTATTTTCTTCACTACAAGTAACTCTCACTTCTTTTCTGCTTTCCTACCATTCTGGGCAAATTTGTCTTAGGGCAGAGTTTAACCATTTAGCTGAAGAATATAGCCTTGAGCATTATAGGCTTTACACAGCACACTCAAAATTCACCCTCCACAAATATTCATTTAATTCTGGCAGGAATTTTGCTGATCCACTTAACCTACCTGGGATTTTAGTATTTGCTAGAACACTTAACAAAGAATACATGCGCACATACAAACCCCAGATGGAATAAAATTGATGAATAATTTGTATTTGTGGAGAAAATGCTTGCCTGGCTCCTTTCAAGGAATGAAGGCCCCTTGAATTAGGTGCCCTGACTTTAGCAGGGGCTTCCTTACTAAATGGTACAATAAAAATAACATTCCAAAACTATAGGAAGAATTCAGGCAATAAATGTGTGGAACAATCTGAAGGGCTTATTATTCATCAAAGGAATTGCTAAACCTGGATTCTTTGAGCAATGCCATGAAAAGATAGAAAGGTAGGAAACACTTCATTGAGTGAACTTTCCTGCCAGATGTGTCAAAGTGCTGGCAGGGAACAGAAACACCAGTGGTGGGTAGAGCTCACCATTTTCATTTTTTATTGAATGAAATCAGGGTTGGGGTTTGACTGGTTTGGCACAGAAACTGCCAAGCTCTTGCTCTGCAGAGACTCAGGAGTGAGCACAGCTCCTGTTATTTGCCACAGGGAACCCAGAAGCTTGTGCAGGTCTTTGAAACAGGAGGCTTGTCCATTATCAAGAAAGATACTCATGTTGCTGGAAAGCACTGGAGTCCTCACTGGACAGATTTCAGTGAAACACTAAGAAAACCACTGATTTTGGTCCTTTTTTGCAAGAATCATGGAGGAATTCTCAAATCTCTGCACTGATGTGGAATGTTGTGTGCTGCAGTGAGGGTGCACTGTCTTCAACAGTCAGAAATAGGACTGAGAATGTGATGTTAGGCTTCTGTCTTTTTTCTACTTTTGTGCTCATCTGTTGTATTTTAACTTAAAAATTTAGATTCCAATAAGAATCGTTTGTTCTCATGCCTCTCCCAGAACCTTTTTATGAAAGCAGAGCTTCAAAAAAATTATGGTAATAATTGCAAATTATGTCAAAAGTTTTTCTTGTTTACCTGAAAGATGTCAGGTCTGAAGCAGCAGGATTTGTTTTGTTTGGTTGGCTTTTAGGCTGCAAAAATTAGCTTCCACACACTGTAAAAATTTGTAAAAGGGAAAAAGAAATGTTAGATCTTTTCCCTGTCACCTTATAAAGTGTAATTCAGCTTGACAGTTTCATGTACACAGGAGAAGTGAGAGAAACAAAAGCATTAACAGCACACATGAGTTGATTGTCTGGAGATTTGGTCTCTGGAGAGCAGAGCTGACGCCTTGTGATGGTGCAAGTTTCTTTGTCAACGAGTTGTGTGTAGTTCCAGGCTCCCTCTGGCTCATTTAACATGAGGAAACAGTCTAAAAGATGGCTGAAAAATGTGGAAATCCAGACTGATCCCACTCTACTGGTACCAGCTCAGCTCTCAGCTCATCAATTCATAAAAATTCTCTTTCAAGCATTGTTTTTCTCCAGTGTCTTGACATTTCTATTAATTTTCAATACTTAAGTGTTGCGAGGAACAAATTGAAACAGCATACCTAAAAAAAAAAAAAAGAAAAGAAGAAAAATAAAAGTCAACTGGTCTTTCTGCTTTTGCTTTCACCTGTTTTAACACTGCTGAAAATCCAGAGCAAGTCTTGATGTTAAACAAGACATTTCTGAAAAACAGAAACATTGTGTTATTTCAGATGAACAGTTTCAAGCTTCTCATTTCCACACAATTTCCTATATACAATATTTCTCTGCATGGCTTTCAAATATTTTGAATGCTATGTCATTAAAGAAAAAAAAAGGAAGACATAATTACATGAGTGTCAAAGATTAAGCAAGTCTTGACTATCAGATAAAATGAATTTTAGTGAGTCATGAAAAGACCTCTCCTTCAAAATGGTGCTGGTAGACAAGGCTGTAGAAGAGACTGATTTGCAAGCACATTGACACAGGGATATCTTAAAAATACAAGATTCATCAGAGATCCTTTTAGGCACTCATCTGCTGTTTTTCTTTTCTCCTCTTACTCCTCTGTTAATCAACCCCAGATAACCCCATCCATCACATCAGGGGAGCATTAGCAGTTTTGCATTTTCAGCCATGTAGACAACTCAGTCCTGCACTCCCAAGCATTTGTCATTGAATCACAGGATCACTGCAGCTGGAAAAGGTCTTTAAGATCACGTCCAACCATGAGTCCAGCACTACCAATCCCAGCACTATTCACTCCAGCACTGAGCAGTACCAGGGGATCTCCCAGGACTGCAGAACCCACTTGGCCCATCTCCAGTGGATTCCTTGATAAACCTCCAGCACTCATTGGCTCAGTTATTGCAGTGAGAGTATAATAATCACTTGAATTAAACTCACAAATAAAACATCAATGTAGGTGCTTCAGGAAGAACCATCTTTCCTTTAGCAAGCTTGAAGGTGACATTGCTCACCAGGCTGTCCTCTGTTGGTGGGATGGCAATGGGACACCACTGCCTGAGAGGAAACCAGTGCCTAATGCTTTGCCTTCCATCAAATATTCTGAAAACAGCCCAATCCTTGGCTGTGTCTCTCTCATCGTGCTGGAAATAGGCAACTGCATCCTCAATGTTTTCAAACTCAAGGCTTTTGCCTCCTGTTATATAAATGCAGAAAGAAAGTTACCATGTGCTCTTTCTATCAACACAAATTACCAATAACATTTTCAAATTTAAGCAGATGAGACACACGTCTTCTGTTCCCTGTGTAAAGGCTGGATCCACTTAAAACCAACAGGAGCCTTTTCATTCACTTCAGTGAACTTTAGATCACGTTCCAAATAAGTGACATGATTATTTTTTCACCCTCATATATGCATTGGGCTGTTCTTAGTAACAATCCTGAACTCTGCAGACTCTCACTGCAGAAATCCCAAAAGATGTGAAAATCTTGTGTTTCTTTCAGAAGAATTTCTATTAATTTTTCTGGGACACATGCAAAAAAGTCTAACTATGCCTAGGCAGATTATGGGGGTAGTTTTAACAAGATAAACTGTGCTTATATTCTGTAGGTATTGGATTACATCCCATAGTTGAACTCAGATCTGACACAGCACCTCACACTATGATCCATCCGTGCTGGGGACCTTCCATCACCAGGAGCATTCAGGTTGTCATGGGCAGCAGTCTGTAGAGGATCCACAGAATCACCAAGGCTGGAAAAGACTGCAAGGTCATCAAGTCCCACCATCAGCCAAGTACCACCAAGTACCAATTCATTCATATCATGAACTGCCATGAATTGTCTGCTCATTTTCTGAACACTTCCACTTTTGCATGGTGACCCCACCATTTCCCTGGAGAGCCTGTTCCAGTGTTTAACCACTCTTTCAGTGAAGAAATGTTTGCTAATATCCAATCTGAATTCTCTCCTGGCACAACTGGAGGCCATTTCCTCTTGACCTGTGTATCCTACATAACAGGGCACTACTCCACAGCCCAGCCCTTTGATACACATGCATATAAAAACTGAAGGCTGATAATAAGGATTTGCATTGCTCTTCACAAAGGCCCACACGGTAAAATCCAAAATGCCAAATCCTCTCTTGCATCCAGTTAAAGTGATTCATTTGGGGAAGGGAGGTTTTATAATGTGTATTTGAGCCTGGAGGAACTATCCTGTTAGCACACCAATAAATGTTGAGTGTAATACCACAACACTTTCCTGTACCAAGGGAATTCTCACAGTGCTTGTGTCTGCAGCAGGCAAAGAAAAGCAACAGCTTTCCCCCCTGAGCCAGCCTGCCTACCATGTGCCAGGTCTGCACGAGCCCTAGGTCCTTCCAGAGCAATATGTTAACCAGGAAATTGGAGTAGAAACTTAATCCAAGACCAAAAAGAAATATGAAAATGTGTACAAACAGCTCTCCAACTGTTGTATTCAAAAACACACACACACACACACATACACACGCATACATATATATATATAATTTTTTCTGCCTTTTTAATCCCCCTTATTATGAACAGGAAAAGGTGCAAGACTAGGGTAACAGTAAAAGAGAGGAAAATTTCCAAAAACTAAAAGGCAGAAAAGAGAAGATTACTTAATTATTATCTTTCTTTCTCTGCCCAAAACCTTCTTGAAGGACATTCCCCCTTCAAATTTGAGCAGAGAGTATATATTTTGATCACAAATACACTTTAAAAAATACTGTTGTGTGTAGCACTACCTTTGGTGTACTCTTAGCAGGATAGATTTTATGTCAAACTGATTCTCAGCAAAGTTTGCAGAAGTATTTGCACATGAAATATCCATAGGATTTGTCTTATCCCAAAACCATAAAAAGTTATTGTCATTTTGTAACAGACTCACTGCCCAGCCACATTCTTTCAGACTATGTAAGCAGGCTAAAAGACCTCAAGATCACAGTGCATCCTTCTGTTCTCACTCTGGGAGCTAAAATTCTCTTCACTTGTGGAAATGTTGCGAGATTTTATTTTGCAAGTCATCAAAGAGCACAGAATGTCTTAAAATAAAAAACCACCAAGAGAAATCCAGAAAAGTGCCTTGTATTTAAAGGTTCTGCACATACAAGAATCAAAATACATACAACATGTGAATTTTCCACATCCTAAAAGTTATTTATATGTCTAAATCCTTTTTTGCTTAGAGGAGCTAAATGCAAAAAGACTTGGAAGGATGGGCCTTGAAGTGAGAGCTGTAAGTTCAGTGCTGCAGCTGGACAGAGCAGCAGCACTGCAGGGACAAGTGGGGACAAGCCAGGCACACTGTCATTTACCTCTTGAAATTCCAGGCATTTCAACACTTAAAACCCTGTGACCTGTAAAATGTTTGTCTTATCTAACCCTCAGAAGCCTTCAGAGTTTCTCCTTCATCAGTCAGAAGGTTTGACTACTGCTCAGCACACAAAAGTGCATCTCATTTGCAGTGAGATAACTCCACAAGCAGAGTTAGCATTAACAGAGAAGAACCAAGTCCAAAGTCTATTCTTGTAACACTCATCAGACTTCAAAGAGCCACAGCTCCACTGGCCCAAATGTACCTGCAGATGTATTAACATGCACTCAAAAGTGCTGTGAGCTCACACAGTGAAGCAAGACCATTTATAACCCTTCCAACCCATGTTCCACCCAACCTTGGGAGCTTCGGCCTTCACACTTCTTTTTGAAAAATGGGCTGCAACAGGAGAACTGCTCATGAGCACATTATCAGTTGCTTGAAACTCAGCCTAGCAAAACAAGCAAAACAAACACTCCCTGAAAGATTAATGCAGCATTTGCTGACTGGCAAGCTTGCTTTGGATGTAGTACAGCAGTGCTGACTGCAGACAGCCAGGCTCCATTACTTCATAGACCTGTCTAGCAGCAGGAGACACATCGGGTGGCAGGTACCAATTCTCAGATCACAGAGATCCTACCGAGTGAGGGATGTCATGGGCTGTGCACAGCTCTCCAAATGGGTGAGCCATCCCTGCAGCAGGGGGTTAGCAATGTGCAGCGTTACTTTTTCCCTTTGCTGTTTCTGCATCTTCAGCATCTTGAGCCATGGCAGTCTGCATGCAAGGGTGAGCTGCTGAGTTTCTGAGATGAATACAGACACAAAGACAGCTCCACACTGTGTTTGTAGTATCTCCTTTTATCAGGACATAAGTCCAAACATTTTCTGTTTACAAATAAGACAGCCCAGTGAAGCTTTGTACTCATATTAACAAGGGTGAGGGTATTCCCAAAGGCAGGCAAGTGCACATGTGTGGGTGTGTGTATATATAGACATCAAGCAACTCTTGGATGCATCAACAAGTTACTGGGATAATGCTAAAGAATTAACAGTTAAACACAACAATTATCTTCTAAGCTTTGCCTCAGACAGTCAATAATCTTGTCCCAGTTAATGCAGCTGGCATTATTCCCATTCAAAAGGGCAGGACTCTCCATTAGACTCTTGAACAACTGCACAAAGAAAAGTGATACACAGGTTAGCAGAGATGCATGGAGCAATCCAGCCATGGATTTCCCACATTTTGGCACTTGGTTTTTTATTAGTTATGTCAGTTAAGTGTAGGAAGGCATGGCATGGATGATAAACCCTGGAAAACTTCAAAAGTCCAGTTTGTGCTCTTTAATTGGGACAACTGGAATTCTGAATGGGAATGATGTATACACTCTCCAGAGAGAAAAATGATCCACAGGGTTTTCAAATTCACAAAAGTGAATCTGTGTGTAATTGTGGCCATAGCTACTTATGATTAAGTCAAAAGAACCCATTAGCAAGGCACACCTCCTCTACTTTTTATAGATAAAATTAGTTTGATTCAGATATGCAGTCACAGGTACTTTTTTAGCTAAAAATGGACAGGGGTTGTGATAGACCACTATTTTCTTCCTATATCATTTATTCATGGCAAGGGACTGACAAGACACTGACAAGATTCATGACAAGATCACAGAAGGATTTGAGGTGTCCAGGTACCAGAAAGCCACAACTTTATTTCCTTTCAAGATCCATTAAACTCTTCCATATAATTTTTTGTTTTACCACTATTTTGTAAAGACACCTTCAAGATGCAAAACAAACCTAGATGAGTTTCAAGCTAAGGCAAACCCTTAAAACCCTTAAAATTAGTTAAAAATCTAGGCAATGTTTCAACAACAAATGCTTTGAAGTCCAAAAATAAGCTTATCCCAACACTGTTTGTTTTCAAATCTTTCCTTCTACTTGCATTTTTTCAGATATTCAGGTAGATGCCACTTCTCCCCTGCCACTACTTGACCTGAAGCAGGGAGCAGTGTCTCCAAAGCCATGCTCCATGCAGGCAGACTGTACAGGAAATAAAGGCTGGGATTCTTCTGCCTGCTCTGTCAGATATGCCAAGCAGTTTGTGGAATTCCAGAGGCATTTGTCCAACAGGAGAAATACTTGACTCCAGCTTCCTGATCTGCACATGAGGAACAAGTATTTCCATGATAGTCTCCAGTTCAGCAGACCTGAAAGCTGAGGATTTATTACACACAAGATGAAGAAGCCTCTCCTTTGATCATTTATACAGCGGTCTGTGAATGAAGGCATTCAGAGCCCAGCTCCAGCACACTCTGAAATATTCATGGACACAGCCAAAAACAATAACCAAACATTGGTTGGAGAGCAGATCCTCTGCTGGGGGACATCACATGGCAACTTTCGTGGCTTTGGTGGGGGAACAACAGTTTACACAAGCTAAAAATGTAATCTTTTTGCACATGGAGCTCTTCTTTTTAAACCATACCTTGATACACATCTGTGAGCCAGATAATAAACACTGCAGATAAATCACTGGAAGGTTTAGAGAGCTCTACGTGCTCTCTCAGACTTTCAGTTGTAGAGCGGAGGCCAGAAGTCAGCACTGATTATACCTCAGTAGCAACTAACCATTATAAATATCAAAGTTGCACTCATTTGGACAATTTCTTGGAGCTTTCTGTTCTGTTTCTGGAGGGCTCTCTTCAGACCTCTGCATCTTTTATACTGTGGTACTTAGATACTTATACCCCATGCTTGTGTAGGGCTGGATATCCCACTGAGCCTTGAAACATCAAAAAAGGACTGCCAGAACATTTCTTTCTCCTGTACATCAAACAGACATCTCCATGATGTCCACAGCAAGTTTTCCCCATGACCCAACCCCTCATTCAGCCATGGCCTGTCCCAGAACTGGAACAGCACCTGCAAGTTATTGTCACCTTGAAAGGAATCATTCACACACCCCAAGCTCTTGGGGTTTTAAGGAGTAGGGAAGTCCCAGTCAGCTGGAGCTACCCAAGGACATGGATATTTGTCGAGAAGTTTTCTTTGACACTTGGCTGAGGTGTAGTTCTGAAGTGACCTTCTTGTAAGAGCTACCACAGCTCTTCATTAACTACTGAGATTTTTCAGAAGGACATAAAAAATGAGGTGGTGGAAAACTTCTAAAAGAGGTGAGCTTTGGAGAACCCTAGGTGGCAAAAAAAGGCAAGGACAATAATCACCTCCAGTTCTGTTCTGAAACACAAAAAAGGCCATCCCTTAAAATTTAAGTCACATTATCATATCTGAGTTCCCACCTCTAAGTTCTCAGACTCACACTATTTTCTTCCAAAAACTGGTCAGCCATTGTCAGTATTTTGAACTTCTTAGTGGCAATCAAAATTTTTTTAAAGATAAATACTAAGAAACTGGTAAAGAGAAAAAACATCATTATTTTACCACCCAAATCCAACAGCATTGTCTCAGGAGGCACCTGAAATTTTTCTTACATAAATACTGCAGGCTTGAGCTCATGCTAAGACAATCTCAACAACCTTTTAAGCTTTAGTAGAATAACTTGCATGTTATAACTTTATTCAGTCATTAGGACAGCAGTAATTTAAGACAGGAAATAAAGAGGAAAAAATTGCCTTTGCACAAGTTATTCTATTAAGGACTGGAATATTAATGCTATTGGGTACATGAGACCCTGTGCAACCATGGAAACCATGGCACTGGATCCATTCAGCCTCCAAAGCTGAGCTGGGGCCTATGGTTGCTATGAGAGGATATAGCACACACCCCTCAGCAGTTCTGGTTAGAAAGTTCTATTGTGTGTTTGTCTACACTTCATCTCAGCATAAGGCTATTTGTGGAACCGAGGTTAAGGAGAGGGTTCTGAAATCTGAAAACATACCTTTCAGATTAATTTAGGAAATCAGATGCTCTTTCAGAACAGTTTGGGGCATATTTGCAACAATTTAACTGATATCTTTCCTTGTTCTGAAAAGATAAAAAGGGATATAGTGAATTTGACTTGGAGAAGTTAGGGATTCATTTATATTCCAGGAGCATATAAGTATCCTCTTCAAGCACATCCTCAGCCCAGACATCCTACAGACAGCCTGCAGGAGTTGGTGGTATAGAAACATGCCATTGGTTTATGGCTTGGGTTTTTTTTTTTCTTTAATTGCAAAATTTTAAGAAAAAATATAAATGTAAATCCTCTGAAACACAACTCAAAACTGTAGCTATTATTTAATCTATTATATTTTCTAATTGCAAGAGCAATTACACGAAGAACAATAACATGGCAAATAAAACCATCTTGATGTACTATTTTAAAGCCTAAAAATCAAACAGAAGTTTTCTAAAAGGTTTATGAACTCTCAGTTCAGGGAATGACATCTGTAGCAGGGTGGGGTGGGACAAAACTTTCCCTGTGAAGAACATGGAACTCACCTAAACCAACAGCACAACTTTTGTTTAAAGTGACTTATTAAGCCTTAAAAGCAGGTGATGATCTCTGCACCAGCTCCTCTGACAGCAGCTCCCCCACACCAATTTTCCATGCTCAAGGTGCTGTCCTCAGACCACCTCTTCCCTCTCAGCATCAGAACATCCCCTACCCAAGCCATTCATATTCCAACTTTCTGTGTCACTGTCTCATTTCAAACCGCTTTTCCTACCTTGCAGGACCCGCTCTCTCTGGGAAGATCGAGCCGTAGTTTGGTCTCGGTAACGTTCACCATCTGTCCCCTCTCTGTGCTGATGCCTCTCTTCCCCAAGACAAATTTTGCTGCTTCTACATATGCAGGATACACCAGAAATACCAGAATATCCAACTTGAGAAAACTGAGCAGAGCTTCAATCTTCTGAGTCCAGGTGCCTCTTTTAGTGTGGTTGAAGTGTTCAGCGGATGACAGTGTTTGTTTCTGGGAATAACAGTCAAGAGCAGCCTTTCTGCTCAAGAAAGGCTTGGAATTGCTTCCAGCTTTACCGCTATCAGAAGGAGTTTTGATTCCTGTTTCATTTTAAAGTCTATAAAAAAGCCACCCAGTTTCCTCCAAGCTGTTGCAGGAGCATCTTGCTCGGTGTCACTCAGCGGCCTGGTGGCCACGGTTGAGCAGCTCGCAGGTGTTGCAGGTGTTGGATCGGTTGAGGTCAGTAGTTCATCTGAGGAATGTTCAGCAGATGGAGATGGCTCCCCTGGCCCTCAGACAGGCTGAGGAACATGCTCCAGACAAATATTCTACAATAACGTCAGAGCAGGCAGAAGCTGTTTACCTGAAGGTGTTCAAAACTATACACTCAGCACCAAAAATGTTTATTCAGTTATGGCAGTAACCAAAATGAAGGAACCTTGTAAATTTTATACTTACCTAGCAGATGGCAGAGCTGTTCTTCCCTTGCTTTTGTTTAGTGGACCATTATTTTGGAAGACCAAACTCCAAGGACAGTTTCTTTCTCTATGCAAGACTCATGTGTCCTGCACAAGAAGCCAAAGTGGTTCAAATCTCTTTTTGAGCTATATGGCAAGACTGGTTAACAGAGACTGGTGTCACATCTCTTTAGGAAAAGTGTTCTCTGAAATTCTTCAGTGCCTCCTTTTTCATGTATGATTTTTCCAAATGTAATTGTAACACCTGCATCCTACTTCTGTATCACACTTTGATCTTATCAAGCAAAAGTCTTGGTGCTTAAATGCTTTTCATGAAAGTGCTTTTGGAAAAGTCTGGTGTGAGAAATACCAGGCAAATGCTCAACTCCTGATTTACAAAGGGTAGCAAATCCCTCAGCCTGAGCATTTGCCATTAATTTGCAAAATAAACATTCTTAGGAAAAGCAGAAGTTGTGAATGTGCAGGAGGCAGCAGGGAGAATGTCCGGGTTGGTGCCCTGGTTCAAACACCAGTACAGTCATGAACCACTGGAAAGACCAGGAGCCCTGTTTTGGGAACATCTCTGTTGTTATCTCCAAGGATCTGCATTGAAGGGCTGCCAGGAATTACGAATCCAGACATCTACTGCTGGTTTATCAGATATCTTAGCTTTGGGATAATGCACACCAGAATCCACACTTTAAGCAAAACACAGAACCAGACAGGTGTCTTGTGGATGGCAAGGAGCACCAAGGATCACTCCGCTCATTCAGGATCAGCCTCATTTCAGAGACAGCTCAGAAGCTTCTGTTTGCAGCACGTTTGCAGCTATAGCCTTAAGGTTTCAGAGTGTGAATTACTGTGGTGACATGATGAGGCAGAGAGAAATGGCAGTGACCTGCTTGCTACTGTTTGGAAGTGTGTTAACCCGTTCCTACCCACAGCCATGAGCATTTCTCACGGCTGAAAACGCATTGTACAGGTCATTAGGTGCCCTGCTTTAAGTAAGTCTTTGGAATTTGGGCCCATTGAGACATACAAGGAGAAATACTTTAAAGGAGTAAAAATTAAGAACAGAAAATTTAAACCAAGGGTTATTTTTAATATTCAAGTAGTTTTAATAATAGAGCCTTTTTCTTACTTTCTACCCAAACCACGTTTCACACGAAACTGAGTAGCTCTGAAAAACTGCATTTATCTATCAAGAAATGGAGAGAGAAGCTGCCATGTTTAGAGAAGGAATAAAGCTTAGGACTTCTACATTAGTGCTTAAGCAATATCAGAATCTCTCTTGGCTTTCTGATTTACTCACTAAAATTCAGCAGACTTCCTCACAGCAGGAAGTAAATCTCCATTCTGGATGGCAAGATCTCCACTCTGCTGAAGTCAAAGTAACTTTTCCCTATAAGATACAAAGAGAAAGAGGATTTAATCCTCTTCCAGTATTAGGCTTTTGCACCTAGTTGGGATTTGCCCATGAATTTATATTTTAATGTCTAAATTCTAACACTCTTGGAAATCATGCAAGTTCCAAAATTCCAATCAGTATGTAGGGATGGAAATTGTGTTATCTGGCCTAGGTTCAGGTATTCCAAACTATCCCTACTATGTATGTATCCTTAGGCCTTCAGAACTACATAGGCAATATGGAATATTAGTGGAAGTAATTTAGAATTTTGGCCAACACAATTTTGGCCTATAGAACATCTTATAAATGTGATATATTTACATGTGATAGATTGATGTAATATATAAAACACATTAGTTCTAACTGTATTTAATAAATGCAGAGAGCTAGCAATATCAAGATAGATTTATGATTTCCCCCATCCCTTGTTTTACCAGTGATAATCAAAAAAGACTACTTGATTTAGACCATTTAGCTGACTTTTTTTTTGTCATTTTGTAGTTAATGTATATTTTAGTATATTCTCCCTTACTTTTAACAAAATTGTATAGGTGCAGACTCACACACAAATCAAAAAGTTGCCTGTTTATTACATCTTTTTAGGAACACGTTGGTATATCTCTATTCTGGAAAACATTTCACACTTCAGTGATGGAAAATAGTTTGCACTTCATTTGTGCATGTACTAATTTTAGATTAAGCAGGACCACATAAATCCTGCTGAAAAATGATGCAATTAAGCCAGACCTATTTGTAAAGAGGACAACATGTGGCTGTAATTATAATGGCAAAGCTTTTGGTAACACATTGACTTATTAGCGCGCTAAGAGGAGTTTGTGCAACATGCTGAGTAAGTCTTTACAGGAATAAATCTTAATATTTCCCCTAAAGCCATTAAAAACCATCCTCTGTTGCATTTCTGATCAACTTCCAGGGTGATTTGCTTTTCCAAAACGGTCACTTTAGTTTTAAGAGCTGCAGTCAGTGTGTGCTGTGCCTACTGCTATGGTGGGAGTAGCTGTAGTTGCTCCATTTGACTTTTTTCAGAGCAAAACTCTTGCCCAAGAGTGGCTGGATGACTGGCACAAGCACCAAAGCTCTCAAGTCTGTCTATTTAGGTGACCAATAATCTGTAAAGATTTATGGAGCTCATACTTCACAATGATGTTGCAATTTAAATGAGGATTTCAATTTCTTAGCACATTTCTAAACCCTTGGCAGCCCCTGAGAGCAGTCGGTGCCTTCACCAACACAACCTGTGGTAAAAATTGAGTATTCACTCCTTGTCCTTATCCATGACCGCAAAGACTGTGTCCAGTATGGTGCCAAGGAAGGCATCAGAGGAAAAGGAAAGCTAAGTTTAAGACCATTTTTAGCTGTTTAGAGCCAAATTCAATTTGCCATCTGTACTTCAGCAGAAGAAATCCACACTGTTCTGCAAGCATCCCTCCCTTCCTGCTGCCCATAGGTCACACTGTCCTTTGTGGTGACATATGGGAAGGGTTTTGTGCTCTTGAGACACACCTGTCAGGGCAAGCAGGACAGAAGTGTCCTAAGCCATCCTATCCAGGACATTCCCTGGGACAGGGACCAGCAGTGATGCAAGTTTCTAATTCTCACATTCAGCAAAAGCCCCTGCAAGCTCAGCTCCACAAAGTGTGTACTGAAGGCGAGTTAGGGCTCAAATGCAGGCTCAGGTCCTCATTTGAAGTGCAATACACACATACCAAAACTCCTGCAGACAGCTATTGGGACAGTGGTCCTTCTATCACCTCCTCCACATTCAAATGTTCATGTATGGTGGATGCAGAAGGAGATGTGAGAATCTCAGGATTCTCACACTCTCCCAATGCCACCAGGCTGGCCAGTGATGGGGAGGCTCTTTCCAGTCCAGCCATGGAAGTCTGGCTGCCACATGCAAGAAAGAATTAATTTGTTAATCTTTCTCAAATTCTTCTTAAGGATGCTGTGGATGATAATCTGGGAGAATAATACAGCTTTGCCAATCACATGTGGAGCATTTACAGGTAAAAAAAAATAAAAAATCCATGTAAATTCCAATCCCCGGCATTTCTGATTTGCTGCTTTATTCTTCAACATAACAGGAAAATCTTATTTTCATAGTTCATGCCTAGCCCTGAAGTAGATCAGAAAGCCCCTCTCATCTCCAAAGGGCTCATTTCCTTCAGAATTAAGACACTGAGTCAGTTCTTTCTATAGTTTCAGTGACCTTTCTTCCCCTACTAGCTGGGGGGCTTGGTTCTTTCACAGGAGAACACGTAATATAAACATAATCAGCCCTTTCACATCATGGAACTCTTTGCTTCAGCAGGAGATTCCTTGCTCTGATACATTTTTTTTTCTGATATGCTTCAGCTAAAGTAAGATCCATAGGAAGGAAAAAAAAATATGGAGTGACCTTAAATGCTAACATCCACTGAAACATCATTTAAAGTGCACCTGTGTCTTGTCATTTCAAAATTAATATAAGGTAAGTTATGTGATCCCTTTGGGTAATTAATTCAGCCCTCTTGGATTCCCCTTTCCCCTCACATTTATTAGCACAGAAAATCCTCATGCAGACAAACAGACAAAATAGCCACAGGATTCCTGTGCAGAGCAAAGCACTTGGAGGAGGAGAAAGGGGCAAAGCTCTGCCTTGGTGATTAAAACACCTGACTGCCTGAAGCATTCAGGTGTGGGGAAAATGTTGCTGAAGTGATGCAAGCCTTTAAAAATGCCATCATAGTTTGCCTGGAAATTCAAAATCCTCATTAGTTGTATGAATAATTTATCAGCTGCTCCACCAGGCAGGGAAGGGACACTTGTGTTGTGTACTTAACTAGCAATGAAGTTGGTTACCAGAAGCAAAAAGTTTCTGAGAAATGGAAATTCGCTCACAAACTGTGGTCATTCTTTGCCAGAACTTTTACAAAGATATCATAAAGAGACCAGTCACAGAGGCACAGGGTATCCCTTCCAAGGACTGCACAAAGTAGTTAATGCACTTTAAAGAACTGCACTGACTTTAATCCACCTCTTACTTGGTTTAAATAACAGATATGGCATGTGCAGAATTTAAAAAAAAAAAAAAAAAGTTAAAAAATATCCAGTGTTAGTAGTTAAACAGTCTCAAAAATGTATTTTAAATTAACTTGAGGAAGTTTGAAAGTACTGTAAGGAATAAATGTTGCTTTTAATCTTTCAAAGCCCAAACTGTAGCATTCCTGTTATCTGCTCCTGCCAAGTGTAAGAAGCGTACAGGTCTTTAGGCACCCAGCAGCGATTCTTGGAAGGGCAATGAAAGAGGGAATGGCGAAAGCCTGCCAAAAGGAAAATCAAAGCCATACCTGCAAGCTGCAGTACAGTTCTAGGAATCCCTTCTGACTTTTCCTTTTCATGTGTTTGAAACTGAAACTTTTCAAAATGTTGGCGAGGTTCTTTAAAATAATTTTTACTTCTGAAAAACCTAAACAACTTGGAGGGATGGAGGAGATGAAGAAAGAGGAAGCAGGGATGGGGTTAAACAACAAAAAATAAATGGGAAGAAAAAGGGAAGAAGCGCCATTAGATGGAACTGAATTGTCCCAAAGCAGCCTCTTCAGAGGAAAGGAGTCCTAAAATGCAGGAAATCTGTCTAACCCTCTAACTATTCCCACTCAAGCTGCCCCGAAGTCACAGATGTTACTGATTCAGTTAGATAGCAATTCCAAGCTCCCAAAACAGATTCCAAGTGAGAAAATAGGAAAAGTCCTTGGTTGCTATTAGATACGCATTCTGAAGTAAAAAGAAGTATGAGCAGGGAGGAATTTGTGGCCTGGATTAGAGGTTCCACAGTAATTAAAGAGCAATGACAAATGGGGTCTGGGCTGACCTATTGAACGGGAAGCCGCAGGGTTGGGAGCTCAGGCTGCAGAGAAAATTCCTAGGGAAATGTGTCAGGGTTTTTTCCTGCTGTGATTTACTGACATGTTTAACAGGAATGAAACCCATACAGGTCTCTGCAAATGTAACGAGGGCCTACAGAGATTAGATGAAAAAGTGGAGAATTTAGCAGGGCATGCTAAAAGCCTGGTAAATGATGTTTTTAACTGTGCAATTAAATTCTATGTCAGGGTAATAATTTATGGCATTGTTGCTAAAAACCTGGAGAAAAGTTATCTCTTACTCAGGGACTGAGGACATATCCATCCAATGTGCCCAGCAACCTTCAAAATTTGAACAATTGCATTAGCAATGTGGGAAGAAAAAAAGGAAGAAAAAACCTGTGAGACTAACAGGAAAAATATAGAACTGTAAGTCCTGCGACTTAGGGCTCCAAATGAGAGAATGAGCAGGTCCCCAGCTGGGTGATGCAGGTAATGCAAATTCTTCTTGTGCTGGCCGTCAGAAGTTGTCCCCACCCCACAGTGCTCATCTGGGGACAGCAGGTGGATCAAGAGGAGATATTAAACAAAGCCAGGCAGAAGCGGGGTTGAAAGAGCTGATGACAAAATCTGGGATCCTTTCATCCCAGTCCTGGGGTACACAGGGCTTGGGCTGGTGCTGGGCTGGGCAGCAGGACCTGAGTAGTGACCCTATCCCATCCCATCCCATCCCATCCCATCCCATCCCATCCCATCCCTCCAGCTGCTTCTGTCTCTGCTTCACTCCCCTGCCTACCAGAGAATTTACTTAACTCCTCTCTTGGGAAGCAGAGATGAGTGTCCTCTTTGGACACAGCCCTGAGACAAGTCCTACCTGTGCTTTGAGGGCCAAAACTCTGCTCCAGGCTGTGCTGCTGGGTCCACAACCCCAACCTGCCCTAAATTTCTTTTCCATACTTCCCCACTCAATAGCTGAAGAGGTTTCCTTTTCAAGACATTAAGTTTTTGTTTTGTTTTCACAAAGGTTATTCCCAAGATCTGGGTGCCTGCCCTGGCAATTAGCTAGATTCACTGTCCAATTGGAATAAATTGGCAACATAATGATCCTCCCTCACAACAAAGCAAATGAATATGACCAGCCAATAAATCAAGTGGCAGAATCAAGCCCCTTCCACCCAGCTCCCAATCCCATGCCATCAGGCCTCCTCCAGAGCTGTTGCATGCAGATGTTTTTTTACATCAGGTCAGAAGGGTCAGTAATGTTTGGGCTGTTTCACACCACTGGGGCTGGGGATGGGCTCCAGAGCCAGCAGGAATCTGCAAAATGTGCTGTTGGCAGCTCTCACCATCCACAGTCAGGGTCTTTTAACTGGAGTGAGCCCAGCCCTGCATCACCACACTGTGATGCAGCACTTACAATTCCTTCAAAGTGGTGGAGGATGGTTTCAGGGATGCTGGAGGATCACAAGGACCCAGACATGAGCCCACACCATCCTCCAGCTTCAGCACCTCTTTAGCTATCTCTAAGCTGGTTTTACTTTACCTAATTATTTCTCAGGTATGTTTGAAATGGAGAATTCAGAATCTTTCATATAAATAGTTCTCTGAGTGTCGAAACCAGAAACATTTCTCATCCTGAGATTATTCTTACCAGATGATATTTGTTCTGCAAAAACATCAACACAAGGCAACTGCACTTCTATCAATAACACCAGCATTTGCAATATTGCTGTATCAGTAACACTAATAGCTCCAATACAAACCTGTTCAGTAATAGCTTGGAATAACAATGGCATTAATCAAAATTATGTATAGTGAACCAAAAGGCTCCAAATATTTTTAGACAGCTGTGGTTATAAAGCTTAGCTGAACTCAGCTAAGCTGAGTTTAGCCAGATTGGGCAGGGTTTTGAGCATTCTGGTCTAATGGGAGGTGTCTCTGCCCAAGGCAGGGGGTTGGAAAAAATTATCTCTAATGTCCCTTCCAAACCAAATTATAGGATCCAACCAGGATCCTATAATTCCTTTGAGGAGAAAGCAGGGCTGAACTGACAGCATGTCTTTCCTGCACCACTGAGGCAGCAGGCTGGGGTTCAGAGGAGGAAATTTCTGTGTGGCTGATATTGCAGGAGATAAGGCTTTATTCCCTTGACAAATAAAGGGTCAACTCCTGCCTAGGAAAAATAGGTTGGATTACAGATAGGTAGGGGCTGAGTTTCAGGCTGCATCACCAGGAGATTAACAGCACCAGAGGTAAATAATCCTGGACACTTTCTGTGGGAAAGGCAGCCTCTGGAATGTATTGTTTCCTTGAAGGCAGCAAAGTTGAGGTGACAAAAGGAAGAAAAATGGGTGGAAAATTAAGCAAATATCCTTGACTAATGAAAGACATGAGGGCAAGCAAACTTCAAATGATTCATAGTTGGGGATGTGAGAGCCCACCCAACATTAATGCATTTTAAAAAAGTATTCTCACCCAAATATTCTCTGTGCTTGAATTGAGTCTTATGCTACCTTCCCCTCTCCCCATCAAATTCCCAGTTTTCAGGTTAGGGGCTGTAAAGACAGGTGTTCCAGCAGGGCTGTGCCATCCCCTGCCATTCCATGCCATTCAACATGTGACTCCATGGTTATGGGAAGCAGTTTTATCCTAATTCCAGGTGAGTTTCTTCCCTTACCCTTAGGCACAGCAGAGCAGATATCTGACAGCTCCTTGAGTATCAGTAACACCTTTTTAAAAATTGATGTGCAATAAGACTTGGATTTCTGGAGGGGGGAGTGCTGCCAGAATAATCAGTTTGAATCCCTCTAATTGAAAGTTCAATGCAAAATTCAAGCAAAGGCAAATGGGGTCCACAGCACATGGACACTCATTAACATAATAAGGGGAAAATGAAGGCTGCAGAGGACATGGAGAGAAATAATTTGGACTTAAGATACATTGAGGACACACATCTATGGAGCTATTCTTCACTGGCAAAAGGAAAATGCATTTCCATAGAATTATGGAAATTATTTGGATGGGAAGGGACCAAGCTCATCTTGTTCCAACCTCCTCCTGTGGACAGAGATACCTTCCACTATCCCAGGTTTTTCCAAGCCCCATCCTACCTGGCTTTGAGTTTTTCCAGGGATGGGTCATCCACAACTTTTCTGGACAACCTATGGCAGAGCCTCACCACCCTCACAGGGAAGAATTTCTTCCTACTATCTTATCTAACCCTACCATCTTTAGCAATGACCCATGATAGTGAGATTTTCAGATCTGTGCTTATGCCTCTGGAAAACTCAGTGTACCCAAAGTCAAGCTCAAGAAGTTAGTCAAATCCTGAAGCTGGAAAATGTCACTGGGATGTTCCAGAGCAAGCTGGGATCTGCAATATCTTGTGGGGTGCACAAGTGGAGGGCACAAATTGGCTCCTCCATCCTTTCAGGTGAGGAAATGGACTGTGCAGTGAAACAATGTGATGGTGAAACCTTGCCAGCTATTATGGGGGGATTCAGCATCTACTCACACACAGAGAAAAATGCAATTTTCTGAACATAGAGCTTGAAACTTGCCATGATTTTTGGCCCTTTTTGCCAAACAGGCTGGTTCAAGTTGTGAGTCAGGTATTGTTAGTTCAAGAAGTATTACTGGATTTATTTTATGTCAATTTAATAACTTATTAATAACTATAGGGTGACCTGTCATAAATTAGTTAGCACTGCCCCAGAAGATAGTTCGGGATGTACAGAGTGATTTACATAACAGATCTTATCATGTCTCTGTCTTCTCTGCTTCTTTTCATTTATTCATGTGTAGAGCCAGGCAGAAAACGGAAAAAGTAATTAATAGATTTGGCTTGAAAAATGTTTTTATATTAGTGTGTGTTTTATTAATACAAACTATCTGTCCAATCTCCAGGAGCTGGATGAATAATGGGCAGAAATAAAACTTCACTTACTGTAGGTACAGCATGAAATTTATGGCATCAATCTTCTGACAGTTACCTTTTAACCAGATTTAGCAAGGTGGATAAACCAAACGAAATACAGAGGAAAAGATGAAGAAGGCAAACATACCTGACTACTTGCTCTCACAAAAAAGAGCAGACTGCTGCTAGAAAGCCAGACTCCCAGCTGGAGAATGATCTCTGGCTGGGGACCAGGTCAGCCACACAGATATGCAAGAGACGAGACACAGCAAGGTTGGCTGGGAGTTCCCTGATGGCAGCAGTGATTTACCTGCAGTCCTGCAGGTATCAGGCCTGAGGCACCAGTTCAACAGACTTGCACAGGAAGCAGGAGTCAGCAGGGAGAGCTGGCTGTGGCTTGTGCCTTTCCAACCAGGTCATTTGTCCTGTGGAACACAGAGATTCAGAATACAGAATAAGGGAATAAATAGGAGGAAGCTGACACTGTTAGTGGTTATTTATTACCTATTTACTAGCAGGCAATGTCTGGACTTCAGGCTATACTAAAGAAACATCCCCAACTAACTCCTAATGGTTTCTACTGATTTCTAACTACCAATAGTTTCTACTCCTGCCACTGAGCTCCAGAAATCTCTGCCTGGCACCAGCCAGCCTGGGAGCCAGGTTAGTTTCTTGGCTGCTGCTAAGGAAATCACTGTCTGATGACAAGTTACAAAACCAGAGAGTGCATCAATAGAATATGATGGGCTCCCTGAGCATCTTGAGTGCCTGCATCATAAAATTGGGGTTCAGGAACCCAGCAAAAGAGACACACTACTCTTTTAGAATAATCCTTTAAAACAAGCAAATGTACTGTTGCGTGACAACTACAGATTTATGGGAATACCAAAATTACAATAGTCTTGGAAGAGCCGCTCTTTGGGCTGGCAATTGATGTCCAATGTCCTGCTCAGAGACATTTAGAATTCTCCTTACAACCTAATGAAAGGGCTGGTGAGGTGCATCAGGTCCTGGTTATACCCACTTTTACCCTGGCACCCTCCTGACTGCCAACTTTCTCCGTAGAATCATAGAATAGCTTGGGTTGGTTTTGAGTTCATCTACTCTAATCCCCTGCCATGGGCAGGGACATCTTCCACTAGTCCAGGTTGCTCCAAGACCTATCCAACCTGGCTAGTTATCCCACTAGCTCAGGGATGAGGCAGCCACAGATTCTCTGGAAAATCAGTTCCACTGCCTCACCACCCTCATTGTAAAAAACATCTTCCTTATATACCTAATCTAAATAAACCCTCTTTTAGGTTAAAACCATCACCCCTTATTCTATTGACAAGGCTCCCTCTTCTCCCCTGTCTTTCCAAAACTGTCCTTCCCCAAGCAAATCTGCGTTTTCCAAGGCCTCAGGCTGTTTTCCTGGTGTGTCCATATATCCTAAGCTATAAAAACAGAAAGAGAGCTGATTTGATCTAAACCAGAGCACAAGGGAGTGTGACAAACAAGCAGCAGGACAAGAGGCAGACTGTGAAAGCAAAGCTAATAAAATAAGGTCACATAGCTGCATAATTGAGCTAGTCCCTGTTTCCAAATCTTATCAAGGGTCTATTTCCTGATGTTATTACAGGGAATTGCAGCTAGTGATGCCAACCTACACACCACAGCCATAGGCACAGCAGAAACTTGGTCATGGAGAGGCCCCTGGAAGAGGACAGGGAGGTGGCTCGAGGATTTTTGGACCTAGGCTTCAAAGTGCCCTATGGGTGCTGTATCTGGTCTGATACTTAAACCAGAGTTGGATCAGTTCTGCAGGACTCCAGCTCTAGGAGAAACAAAATAAAAAAGGTGTTTCTAGGAAGAAACACCTTTTGATAAGGTGCATCGCTCAGCTGTCCTGCAAACTCTTCAGGTTTCAAGTTTTCAGCAGCTCTGCTTCCTGGGTTGTGTACATATTAAAAGACAGATGCTGTTCAGGGGAGAAAGGGAAGTGTTGATCTGCAGGTAATCTCTCCACATGAGCACTGTGGATGAACCCTGGGAAAATATCTACAGGCAGCATGAGACGAGTCAAATTCTGCTGATAAATGATCACAACAAACACAAGGATCATTTTTCATTACAACAGGGGCTGTTTTGCAAGGGAAAAGGTCTTTTGAGATCCATTGCAGAACTTCACAGAGAAACTTATTTGTTCTTACTGGAGTGATTCAATTTGTTGTAGTGCGTTGCTGATTCAAGGCCAGAGCTTTGCTAACCCTAAGTGTAGTATGATTAATAACCTCTTACTCCAACAAATTGCTGGTTTGTACTCTCCAACAAACCCCTCCTTTTGCAAACCTTGGTCTAATGTTTACTGCAGAGCTTTGTATTTTGCATAGGATTCTGCTTCAGGGAAATTGTGTTTCAGGTTTCTGTATCATTTCAACACAACCAAAAGAGAAAATCTGATTTTCTTTTAATTCAACATAGATCACATTTCAAGTATCACCAAGAAAGAAACCTCCTGAAACTCACTTTGTGATTTATGACTACCCCTTTCAGAACAATTACTATTTATACATTCCTTTATTGTGTCTCTTGGTGTCATATCTTTGGCAAAGTTATTGGACAGCATAGTGTGTCCCATTTCTCCCTCCATCAGAAAACATTTAGCAGAACTGCCTTTTAATAATGATACTGCCTTTTAATTTTCCAAAATGAAAATGTGGATTGTACTACTTTGCTCAACCTTTTCCTTTGATTAATGGGAACACAATTCTACATACTGAGACCAGGGCAAGAAGCTTGCTGGCCTGAAACAATTCCAACAGAAAGTTTCAAGTATAAAAAAGAGGGAACTTGGAATGTATTGTTTTAAGGTAGATTCAGGGTGAATTGCAAGATAAGACAATGGAAAGGTGGAGGAAGAAATTCTGTTGGAAACAAGGATGTTTACAAGAACCAACTCAGTGCCTGGACATACTTATTGCTTGGATAGGAATAGATGAAAAGAAATACTCTGCTGATAATTGTAATAGATGATCCTGCTTCCCTGCTGTCTTCCATCACAAACAAATGGCAAAAGTTAAACATCATATATTTTAATTAGTATTTAAAGCACTTAGTTATCTAGGTACTGAGTAACTGCAACAAAACTTTGTCAGGCTGGAATGCAAAGGGGGGAGTTTAGCAAGGAAAAACAATCTGATCTGTGCTCAGTGCTGTGGCCTCCCTTCAGATACCTAAACCCTTACATGCCAAATTCCAGCTGACATTTCCAAAGGAAAAATTAAATGAATGGAGAACAGAAAGAAGTGATGTGAAATAAATAACTCCTTGGTCCTTGACTTTTCAATGATACATGTAGGGGGCAAGCAGAGCTGCACACTGGCACTAAAGCTGTGCCTGCATGACTGGTCTGGTCAAAGAATGCATGGACTGATTGCTAAATGTTGACAAACTTCTCCAGCATATTCAAAGTATGAGGTATTAGACACTTTTATTTATTTATTTTTTTAATCATTGCCTACTTTTGAAACATTTATTAGCATCGTCAATATCCAAGTATTCTAGTTATGATTTTTGGGGGGGGGCGTGGTGTAGGATTATGTTGACCTCTTGTTGCATGATCTTAACTTGGCCATAAATGTTTGCAATACCTGATGAATACCACTGATGTGAAATAAGCCCTGCTTAACAGCAACACAACTGTCAATCCACTATGGTTTAAGCTTATTAGGAAGGTGGCTTTTGGCCCAAAATGTCCCCTAACTGTGATGCTTTGGAAAACGTTCCCAATGCACTGCATGGTGGTGGGGGCTCATTGACCTACAGTGGTTGTAAAGATTGTAAGATTAGTGTTTCCTGGAAACTGGGCCCATAATATTGAGGAATTGAGACTTTTGATTAACAATCAAACTAGGTCACCCTGACTTCATGAAGATAAAGTGAAGTTTTGGTAGATCTGAAGCCAAGAGGGGGCTCACCAGCTGTGACTGCTGACGCAGGATTCATCTCCACAGGCTGCCTAGGGAAAGAAATCTAGTGGCATTTATAGTCTCCTCATCCTTTAATCTCCTTGGGATCCAAGCAAACAACTGTGTGCATGGCTTAGAGGGTTAAATTGGAACAGAGTCCTGTGGCATTTCCTATGGAAATTAGAGAAAATTAAGGAACCTAAGGGATTTTTGCTTTCTGAAAGCAAAACCAACATATAATGGTATGCTACAATTAACACAATTTCCAAAAGTTTAGAATCATGTGAAAAGAACATGAAAAGAAGAATGTGAAAATGCACCTCTGGGTAAAATATGATTATTTTGCTGTCTGTTCTGGGGGAGCATGCATGGCTGTCTTATAGGGACAGAGTAGATGCCAAAGAAGGGTGATTTAGGGACACTCTAGCTGAGTGCTGCCCTTTAATTGAAGCACAGCTTCTCCTTTATCTTCTGGGGAGTGGACAGGAACCACTGCCAAGCAGAGAGTCATCTCTGCTCTCCTCCAGGCTCCCCCAGAGTGGGTGCACTCTCCTTTTTGGAGGGAAAAATTCCCAAACGCTTCCAACACCAACAGCCTGCAGGGAGGCGTTCGTTGTGCTCCCAGGAACCAGCATCCTCTTCCTCACACCCACTGCTCTGGGTATGGACATACACCCTGCATTCCTCATGCCTGGGACTCCAGTGGTGCTCCCAGCATGGCTGTGGCAGGATGGCTGCTGGGAATTGCCTTTGAGGGTGGATGATTCCATCCTGACCAGGGTGGCTATCTCTGCTGGCCATGGGGAGCTTCCCTAACTAACAGCCACATTTCCAATGAGCCTGGAAAAAGCCTGAACTGCACTTCTGAGTGCAAGGCTGCTCTGAACTGCTTGCACAGTTGTAGTGTTATTGAAAAGGTGTACACATGTAATTTTATTGCAAGAACAGACACAGCTGTGACTTTATTGATTGCTTTCCTAGTTATGGAAATGTTTCACTGCTTTAAACCTTGCAACCTCCCCAGCTCGATCATGCCCCATTTAGTGCCGTTCTAATATTAGCAGACCTTTGTTTCCACAACCTGGATTTTCCATATTTTCATCCCTACGACCAAGAAAGCTCATGGCCAAATAACAATGAGCTCATCTCAAATGCTTAAGCAGCCAGTGCCAGGTGAACAAATTGTCTATTATTAGACTCTTTCATGCTCTAAGAGCTTTTGTTCCCTACTTGCCTGCCTTAACACCTGCTGTTGCAATGTATATCAACTTTCAGAACATCATTCCCAGTAACAACAGAATGTAAAAATGTATTCAGGGATTGCTCAAACAGAAAGTGATTAAGTTTTGTGGAGGGAGCTTTGTCAAGCACAAAAAAAAAAAAAAAAAAAAAAAAAAAAAAAAAGGCATGTGGTGATGGGACTGAAGTAATTATGAATACAAATCAAAAATCTTCACTGAATCAACACAATGCAAAGTTAAACATTGAATTGCAGGGAATTCATTCAGTGGCATTCAGGAAAACACTAATAGTTGTGAGAAATGAATTTGTATTAGTAGTAGTAGTAATAGGAATTTTTTTCCTTCAGTGAGTTTCACACAAATATAGAGTGTTTGACTGGTGTGTGAAAGCGTTGATGGGATTGTGTGGGTTGGGCATATGGAAAAGGTGTAACCCAAACCCAGCAGCTTAAAAAACACATATATAGATATTTAAAAATATTTAGTAGTGTGATCCAAATGTTAGAGAAGGAAATCATAATTAACAGGTTATAAGGTATGTTATGAGGAGGTCTGGCTTTTACTGGAGCAAGAACAGTCATGGCTCATGGTACAGAAATGGACTACTGCTCTTATGTGGGATGGCTTTTTTTTTTCTTTGTATATTTTTCTTCTGTTCAGAAAATCAAACTTAAATGGTTGCTTTTATAGGCATGAAATAGAGCTGGAGAGAGCAGCATGACCTGGGAGAGGAGGCTCAGCAACCACCTGGAGTGGGCAAAATTCTTGCCTGCGGCTGAATGGGTTCCCCCTCTCACCAAATCAGATGTCCATTTATAACAAAATTCCCCGTTATCCCCTTCTCACCTGCCACATCTATTTAGATTGTAAATGTTCCAGGCCAGGAACTGTCTCTCACCGTGTGTTCATCCCTTGCACAGCATGGGGGTGCTCCAGGCTGTGTTGGGCTGTCACAGGATTGTGCTGCACATGGTAAACGACGCAGAGATCCACGGACAGTGAAACCCCAAAAGCATTTGTTACCTCATTTTACTCTGCAATAAATTCTGACCTTGGTTTAGTATTGCTATTGAAAAGAGCTTAAGGCCAGTTCCCAGAAAAGCAGAGTCCAGGCATTGTATCACTTTTAAAATATTCAAAAATAGGTAAGCTTCTTTTACAAATAACCCCAGAAATATTCCCTGTACAGAAGGCAGTTTTTCTAGCAAACCTTGCTTCACTCTTCCTTCCAAAATTACACAGGACAAGCAGCTGCATGCACTGCACCTCCATGGGACACAACCATGTACCATGACACTTGCACAGAAAGTCTGCCATGGTTCTAGTTGCATTTGGATTTTATAATTTTAAATCAGAATAGAGGGGAGAGAGGGTTTGACTTTTCTTGCTGCTTATTTAATGCATATGACCTGTCCCTACCAGTTAAAAATTCTGAAAAAATATTACTTACAAGAAAGAGTAGGACACAGAGCAGTCTTTGCTAAAGAAGGAATCGCTCTGCAGAAGTAGTTAGTCAAAATACATCTGTTAAAACAGGAAAAAAAATCAACAGCAAAGTTACTTAAACATGTACACTACATTCAAATTCGAGGGAAAAAATGTTATTTTTGGACCGTAACTATGGTAAGGGTACATTAGATCCTCTGCTACACTGCTAATAATGAATAAGAAATCTGGAGGCAGAAAGTGAAGTGTTCATCAGAGTTGTTTTAACTTGCTGTGTGATACCCACAGCTATCCCTGGGCACGTGCCTTGGCTGTCCCTTGTGTCCCTGGGCAGACCCAGGGCAGGAGAGGCAGATCCACCACAGTGACTGGCATCCTCCAGGGACATTCTCTGCTTCAAGTTATTCCAGGTGCGTTTGCACCACCTTTGTCCTTTCAAGAGGTGAAAACCAGCCGTGGGTTTGAGGGGGCAGTAGGTCAAAACCATCCCCTTTCTTCGGAACTAAGCAAAGTTTAGTCCTCAAAGAAATCACCAGTTTGGACATTCAGCAGGAAAATGCTCTGCTCTGCTTTCACAAAAGGCTACTCAAAATTAATGCATAATCATGGAAACATTAAGGTTGGAAAAGACCTCTTAGATCATCAAGTCAAATCATTATCCCAACCCTTCCTTTCGCCAGTTATGGCCACCTGTCTTAACAAAGGCAAACATTGAAACACCAGAAATCCCTGAGTAATAAAAACACAAAATACTAAAGAACCAAACAAGTCAATAGAGCTCAAATAGGGGAAAAGCAAAAGGAAGAAGTTTCACTTAGGTGGCCCAAGGTTTTCCTGATCTGCAATGTTTATGTGAGAGCACTCACAATATAAATATAAAAAATTTGGGAAAGACAATCACCCACATGAAAATTTGGTGAGCACACAAGACAAAGCCTTTCTGTAAGGCATAATAATCCCTATTTCATATATGAGATTTATTCTGAGCATTTGTTATTACATTTCTGAGCATAAACATAAAACACATATGAAAGATAAGAGGCAGGACAATTCACTCATATAGATCATCCAGAACACATCTGACATGATCTCTTATGTTAGTGGCCAAGCACATCTTTCTTAGAAGATCTTTATGCATCCATCAGCATAAAAGAGACATTTCTGCCTCTGGTGTTGCACACTGGTATCACAGGGCCGCTGTAAAATAGGTTCAGGGGGCTCATGAATCTGCCTCAGCCACCAAAGATAAACAAATCTGGAACTCATTAGTCTTCACACGGCAGTGTTTTGGCACACAGAGGAAAAGGAGTTATCAAGACTAAATTCAGAAAGGTTGATATATGTATCTACATCTCAAAATGTCTGTTAAACTGCCAACATGCTTCACATAGTCCCTGTGTGGTTTGTATTTTTTCCTGCATTGTTTAAGCTGTCAAATGTTAATGTGTTTCTGGCTTAATTTATTACACTGATATGACAAGTTATGAGCAAATGTATTCTTGTTTACTACTGTTAATATTTTGGTTATACTCATTAAGAGCAGTTTTAAGATTAGTCTTTTTTGTTATTTTGCATAGTAGAAAAGAAGCAAAAGTCTTCAGTGAGGACTGCATCCCACTGCTGCTTGTAGCACAGGCTTCAAGCTGGAGTGGTCCAATTAGCTGTTAAATCATCACCACATATCAGAACAAATCCTAGTGAAAGGGTGGCCCAGAGTCTGCCTGATGGATGAACTGCCCTGCTGCCTAAGAGATCTCACCTGGATGTGAGAGATGGACATTTCCACTAAGTGAAATTCCAGAATGTGCTCCTAAACAGGTACAGTGCTTTTCTTCACTAACAGGAAGCCAAGATAAATATAATTTTCTTTAATTCTAGCAGGGTCCACCTCTCCATCTTCAGGGATGGCACAAAGTATTTCCCAGCCTGTCTTCTGCAGGGTCCAGTAGCTTTTTGTCATATTTAAGCTTCTTTAGCTATTGAGTTTCCTAAGTGAGAGCCAGTTTCATTGGAAAGGTGATGGAGCAGTCATGGTACAAGTGCCATGTTCTGCTGAAAATGTGAGAGAAACAACTGGCTGGGGTACATAGCACAGGATCAGTGCATTCCCTAGGAACACCTGGAGATGAGCTCCAATTATCTTTATACATAAAAGGCACTGTGATGAGCATGAACAATGTCAGGCTGTTATTCCCACAGCATGATGCAATATGACACAGCTCAGTCCCAAACCCTATTGTGACACAAATTTAGAAGCAGACTTGGACGAAGATATGGAACTCTGGCACGGGAATTATTTTAATATTCTGGAGTTTGTTTTCATTCTGATTTGGAAGGAGAAGAAGGAAATATAGAAGGTTTGAAAAATTATCAGGCAATTTGGATAAGTCTCCAATTAAAATTCCACTTGGTTGCATAATACATAGACAGGAACTTGGAAGTCCCAGATGAATGGGAGTCTCAGTGCTCAGAAGCCAATGCTCCTGGCTTTCCATGCATGCACAGAGCCCAGAGCTGCAGCAATCTGCTCAATGGGCTGTCAAGTTGCCCATCAGCTGAAACTCCAGTGCCTCTTTCACTTTGTATTCAACCAGCTACAAATCCTGCTCAGATCCTTACAAGACAGTGTCCAAGTTGCTTTCTGGGAAATCCACATCTGTCTGGGCAGGAGCAAGATCCTTGACAAATATGACCTCCCTAACTCGAGGGTGTTTGTGTTTATGTCCAGAAACAAAACTATAAAATTTCATTATAATTGACAGTGATTAAAGCACATCCAAGATAACAGGAGAATTTCTGTTACCTTCAGTTGCCTTTGGGCCTGGAGGCTACTACACCTTGCAGTATTATTCTTTGCAATAGAGAGTAATTGCCTACAGAACCTTAGCACAGAAGTATTTGCTTATCTGGCAGGGTTTTTTAGTAGTCAAGTTGAGATTTTTCTCTTTCAATAGCTGAATGAGGCAGATGGTTTGATTCAGTGTGGCTATAGAAAGAAAGCCAAGGCAATTCTGGGGCTATGTGTGCAAAGCCTTCACATCAGGGCTCAAGAACAGAGTTGCTGCAACGTTCAGTGATGAAGAATGTGGCAAAGAGACATTCCATCAAGCAATTCTTGGAATGACTTCTGCAGAGACAGCTCACCTGGACCTCCTGGCCCAGTGGGTTCAGTCCATCCATCCATACCTCACATGGTTCATGGGGGTACAGAGAGGAGGGTTCTGAACTTGGCCACTTCTTCTCTTGCATTATCAGGAATGGGCTTAAATGTGTGAGCTTTAATAACATGTAAAGCCTTGTGGTAGTGTGCCTCCAGAATATCTCTGAATATACTTACCCCTAGCACACCAAGAATGGCATAGCAGGATTTTTTATAGTATTTCCTCAGGTAAAGATCAGCAGATGAACTCCAGGCCTTGCCCCTGTCCATATGTGACACAGGAATAAGGAGGACATAGTTTGATTGAAGGGACTTATTTTTCCAGAGGCTGTGGTCCCCTTTTGGAAACACACAAGCAAGAGCTCCATTCTGACCTATCGTTACACTCCTACATCTTCCACTCTTCTAGCACTGCCTATATACTTCATTACATTTCACTATATCAGCAATCCTAGATATACTTTTCTTATCACATATCAGATGCATATGATACATATATATATTTTTATTTTCAATTTTCTGGCATGTAGTCTAAAACAGAATCAAATTTCTTGTTGCCACAAGGCAGTCCAGGCACCCTGAGAAAACATGCCAATTGACAGAGGTAATTTATATTTTGTTTGCAATGGATACACAAATTTGATCTCTTTCAGATATTTTTGGCTGGAAGCAATAGGTATCCCAATGTTCAGGTAATCCAGATTTCCAGATTAGGATGATGAGACGATCAGGCTACAGATCTTTGCTTGCTTAACCTTGGGAGGCACCACTCTCTTCTCAATATTTTACAGTAAATACTTGGTACAGCTTTCATTCATTTTCACTTCACCACCATTGTGTGAGCTGGCCTCCAATGCTGACATTCCTTCTGCCTAAGCATGCTTTCTCCCTTTATTTTTTTGTTGTTATGCTTCCTGACATTTTTATTTTCTGGGTCATACCCCACTCCACTGCGTATCAGGAGCAAAGCAATAAAATTACTCACGTGAAGCCCCTGCAAGAACTGCACCCATTGCTTTCATCAGTGAGCTCCCCTCATGTTTGATTGTTCAGATCTGAATAGCTGGAATATGTTTTAAGGCATAAAAGCACATTGTTTCATATGCTCAGGGAAGTTGGTGATGATGGGTAGATCTCAGCCTGCGTTGGAAATACAGTACCTCTCTAACAAGTTGTCAATCTCAATTAAGACATCAACATGTCGAATTAGGAAGGTACTGCTGCACAGCCTATTGTTGAACTGTATGTCAGGTGAAATAAGCACTAATTATACACTTAGCCAAATATGTCTGTTCAATATTACTTCAAAACTAAGGTCACTGAGTTATTGTGAAGTGGTAGTTTACACTATTTTGGATCCCACCAAATGGCAGGTGGCCATACAAATATGCAACTCAGCATGTTCTGCTTGGTCCCCACAGCTGTGCTGCCAATCAGTTAAGGATGGCTGCAAGTAAATGCTAATTAGCTTCTGTTGATCTGCATATTCCAGCAGCCTCCCAGGATTCCCATTTTGATATGCAAGATTGCCAGTTGGGTATGTGATTGAATTAAGAACCAGAAAAGATTTTATCTTCCATGCAGGAAAATGTGGGTCTGAATCCCCAGTAGAGGCTGTTATCACTCTGATTTATGTTTGGCAGTGCCTGTCACTGGAGTGGTAGCAAAGGCTCAGTGCTAGAGGGTGCTACCTCCCTTCTTTTGGAGGAGACTCTCCCTGTTGAGAGCAAACACTCACCATCTGGGGCCAGACCCACTCCTGCCTTTTATGTTTGCAAGGCTTCCATGTGTCTGCTTCTCCACGCAGGGTCCAGCAGATCTCTTTTGTAGGTCGACTGGTCCTCAAAAAATAAATAGGAATTAAAATTAAAAAAAAAAAAAAAAAAAAAAAGAAAAAGAAAAAAGAAAGGAAATGAAAGAGTAGAAAGATTTTGAGTGATAGGTTTGGGGTTTTGCATTGGTAGGGGCAAAAAATTAAAAAAAAAAGAGATTTCCCAAGGTTGTCAATAGCCTATTAATAGTTGGCTGGTTACATTTGCAGGGACCACTTAAGAAAGAAATGGCTGGAAAGTTGAACTTCTGGGAGCAAAGTGCTTAGATTTTGCACCTGTACTTCATAAGGGGAAAAAATATGATCTCATTATGTAAACATTACAATAACAATTTTCAGAAATTTTGCTTGGCTCTGCTATTAGTGAGCACTGGTTCCCTGTAGTGAGGAAATTATATTTCTCAGAAACTGCTCAGTGCATATGAAAACAAAATAAAATTCGTCTCATCTTTGTGATTTTTCACCTTATGGCTTGATTGGACATTGGAAGAAAAATAATTATTTAATTACCCTTCCAAGTTTCTGTAGGTTGTTATCATATTGTTTCTTGTCTTGAAAATAACTCAAAGAAAAAGTTGGCTTCAGGCTGATGGAATATTATATGCTGCCTAAAAATGCTGGGGAACTGTTCTTCCGTAGGGATTTGAAGTTATTTTCTTTTTTAAATGATGTTGTTCTCCCATTCCAAAAGCTTGTACCACTCTGATGTAAACAGGACACCTAAGCACATGAGCAGTAATGCAGTTCAATAAAGTTTATAGGAGAAAGTCATAGGTAAGAATTCACCGCAAATTTCAGTGGCATATTTAATGTACAAAACTCTGAAAGCAAAATTACAATCACTGTTTTAAAAGGTCCTTGTGCACCCTGACACAGTTGAAAACATTCTCCTCTAAAGGATACTAAAAAATAATAGATGGATTAAGATGTAACATTCAAATTGGTCCCAAACATTTTCAAAATTCTTCTCTTTCTGTGGTTGTAATTAATAAAATGAAGAAATAAGGAGAAAATACTTAAAAGAAAGAATAACTGCCAGGAATTCTAGGTCAAACAAAATTTTCTATCCCCTCTATTACATGTACTATTATAAAAGCAAAAGGAGTCTTGACCTGACTGCAGGAATAGCCTACATTTGTATATATTACATATAAAGATACACAGATGTATATTTTTTATATATATATCTGCAGGATCAAAACCAAGCTTCAATAAGGAGAGAAACAATTATTTCATCAGATGCAAATTCATCTTATGGCCAAAACTCCTTACGTTTTAATGTGTTCATGTTAATATACTTTTACATGTTTATAAGAAAGTGGAATTATTTATAAATTAAACTGAACACTATTAAAACCTTGTAATCCCATGCTTTTGCCAGGTCATTTTTAATAGGTTGTGCATTACCACTAAATATATGGCCTCAATTCCACAAGGCAATGAAGCACACAGTTAACTTTAAGCATCCTTGAAATCAAAGAGACTTATTTGCTTTGATAAATTCGGGCCCTAGGCTTCTTGAGATATTAAATAATATATCATATTTCTTTCCATTAAGCAAACTGCAGGGACCAGACAGTTTGGGAGGTATTTTGTTTTAACTTTTTTGCAATGACACTCTCAAAATAAGTATCTTTGTCCTCAAATACATATGGGCAAGAGTACCTTTGTGCCCTCACATATTGCACAAGCTCAGAGGAACTCAGAAAGTAACACTGAGAATGGATAAGTCAGAAAATGTCAGTAAAAATGCAGTTAGATCTATTTTTATAGTTTTATTATCACTTTAGCATTGACACATTTCAGAAGGTTTTGAAGTGCTCTGTGGCCCCAGTTTGTCAGATCAGAGAGAGTTACGTCACTTGTCCAAGCTTGGCCAAAAGAGACAAGGACTTTCCAGTCTGGAAAGGAGTCCAGGAGAAAAGAATAAATATTGCACTGCATAAAAACTAGAGTAAAGGGGAACAAAAAAAAAAAGAAAAAAAAGAAGCTAAGTAGACGTTGCATGTCTCACAAAACTGCAGTTAAAGGCTCTAAATAAGTTATCTGGCAGCTAGTTTAAACTAAAGAATATAAAATGCTTTTTTATTTTTAATATACATATGTGATGAATGGGGTGATAAAAGGTAATAACGAGTACTTGGGGTGGATATGCTAAGAAACTTATTAGAAGTCTTTGTTGTTAAACAGAATTCAATCTTAGCAAAAAGAGACAAGTTTAGGCTATTATATTTTGGAATAAATTATCTATTCATCCATTCTTTACTATCACGTGAACTGCTGAAATAGTGTGAATACTGCTTTGCAGGACTAAACAGAGAAAAGATATATTCAAACAATATATCAGTGTATTATTCTTTACATCAAAATAGTAGAAGTTTTTTTTGTCCACTTATCCCTAACATTCACACTCCAGTTTGTTGGTAAATACCTAACAAGGAAGAGTCTGATTTTCACTATTGTTAGCTAACTTCACAAAAGTAAATACCAGAAAGTGACAGTTAGGGTACATATCAAAGAAAAAAGTCGTCTTAATGAGAATTATTAACTCTTGGATCTGTCCTCCACAGGAAAAGGTTATTCTATTGAGTTCTTACTGTTCTGCTAGCTTAATTGCAGGACAAAATCTTACCTCAGCAGTGAGAAGTGAAGCAAGGACAAAGATTCCTCTGTATGAACTGGAAACACTGATGATTGAAAACAGAAGAACTACTAGAAAGGAAAAACATAAATCTGAATAATCTCAACCTAACCATATCAAAGCTAAAAGCTATTCAAATTAATTTCTGGGAAGGTTGAACTAGAGAAGCTTTAAAGAGGAAACTCCTTCATTTTATGGATGTGAAGCAGTATGATTCCTTTTCCTGGTTCTGTGGAGACTGAGCTAAAAGATAGGGCTGCAAATATGATGGAGATAAAGATGGGGATAACCTTCCTGAGTGGCTTCAGTATCCCAAGAGCTCTACACAGGCACTATATGACATCTGCTCTTGTCAAAGTCACCAGAAATTGGTTGCTTGATAGCAAACCAAAGAAATAAATACACTGGTTTACACTTAAATATATATAAATATATATATGTTACTTTTTTGTTTCAATTTTACCTTTCACATGAGCATCAGCCATTAAAACTGACCAGTTGAGATCCCAGCTTCGCTGAACTTGGAAAGCTTGTAGGAAGTTTGCTCCACAAACACACATCTCTCAATGAGAACAATGAGGGAGGACACTCAGCTTGACAGCTAGGGCGTAAAACTCCCATTCTTTCCTTAAACACAAAAATGATGAAAACATTTATTATGAAACATATTTTCCATTACTGTATTGTAGAATGTAAACAAGTTCTCATGACATATGGGGCCATGTGTTTCCTTAAAGAGGTGTTATGTATGTCAGAAGCAGCATATGTACCGTGTGATACAGCTACCACCATGGTAAGCATTTGTTATTGCCTAGTGAACAGGTGCATAAAATCCCCATGTAAACAGATGTCATAGCTGCACTGACATCTCTTACTCATGTCTACTCCTGCAGGAAAATGAGGGGGTTTGTTTCCCCCTCTTGGGTGTTTAATGTGGATGGCCTAGACTTGTGTGTCTGCATCTTCCCACTTTCACGGATCTCCTTCTTGACTGCACAGCGGCTTTTAGGAGCAATAATCACCCAAAGAAGAACCTTTCTCTGTAAGAGGTTCCACAGTCATGCTCTTTCCAGAAGTCTCCATATAGATTCTGTTGACAGGCACAAACAGTTTCATTAAGAAACTAATCCTATATTGAGAATCTTGAAAGGCACAACCATATTTTCTACTGATTTTTCTTTTATCCCCAAGAAGATGGCTTTTCTCCATGAAAAAAATTTAAAAATCATACAATTCAAGTGGAGCCCATTAGAAAAAGAAAAAACATACATAAGCACTGCTCTTTGCTGTCTCACTCTGCATGATGATGCTTGCAGATGGACTAACATGACTAGGTGAAACACAGCAGATCTCACTGGGCATCTCTGCATGGCCACAAATCCCTGCAGTGGAACCAACCCAAACTCACTGTGCTCACATGAGAACATTTTCCTTCCCCACTAGCAATCTAAAAGATACCTACACATCTCATGAGCTCCAAGTGCTCTTAGATTTACATATCTTAATTAGTGTAACCCTCAGTTATCAGGTCATTTTGGTGAGAATGACCCAGAAGCTCACAGAACTCTCTGTACCAACTCCCTGCTCCCTTTGGAGACTGAGTAACGTAAGGAGTAAACATAAATATGTCATTTCCTTTTATCAAACATATGCATTCAAATCAGGCAAAAAGTCTCGAAAGCTAAGTGTGGTACAGCTTCACACAAACATGAAGGGGCTGGTGTGCCAGATCTGGCTCTTCCCTTCTCACACCTTCTTTTAAACTGAGATATTTGCCAGAACTTTTCAATGTAAGCCAAGGCTGCGGCTCTCTGCTGTTCTCAGACGTGGTCACATTTGTGCTTGTCCTTGCCTAGTACATATTAAAATAATAATTTTTCCTTCCTTTCACCCTTCCAGAGCAAAGTAGTCTGTTTCTGCTCACATACTAAATTTTTAATGCAGTTTTCATTTTATATTCCTTTAGTAGAGTTTCTGTGGTTCTTTTTGCCTTCCTTTCTTCCCCACTCCCCTCCACTATGGCTTGTTGCACAAAAGAAAAAGCCATTCTCACAAAATTATGGAAAGAGACAGTATATTAGGAACATGAACCTGGGCTTGGTCCAAAGCCCACTGGAGACAAGGCTATTCTTCACATTTATTTCAACAGGCTTTGGATCAGTCACTCCTTCAACAAAAGTCTCTCAGCACAGATTATTTAAGTTATTAACCATGGCATGTTTCTTGCATTGTGAAATGCAGGACAAGTGGCACCAGATAACCCACTGCAAAAAATGTACATGGTAAATCTGAGCATGCTCAGCACTTTATTTATGGCAATTTCTGATAGAGCAGTCAGACTAACCAATATCCATAAATCCTGTATAAAGGGAGGTGTTGTGTGCAGTGGGAACAGCACAGCTGCAAGTTGTGGCCCTATTCAGGTGGCTGAGGTTGTATCATTTCTTGGCTTCCTTGGGGTTGGTGATGACAAGTCACAGTGAGAACCTGTCCTTTATAGAAAATGTCCTTCAAGACTCATCCTGCTGACAGAGATGAGGTGATACAGTGAAAGGAATGAAGCACAAGCCAAGGAGATTGAAGGTAAATATGCAGAAGACCACCTGGGAGAAATGATCCTTTCATGAAGAGACAGGCATATAGGAAGGAAGAGAAAATGTTCTACGTGGTTGGCATCCCCCACACCACAGACTGCCAGTAGGCATTGCTGATTTGGGTGCAGATGTGGGGCCAGAGGTGGCAGAAAGTTCTCTCCCCTGGCCAGGGGGATCCCACCCAACCCAAGCCAACTGCCTTCAGTCACCTCTCACTTCTGGGAACATCTCAGGTTTGGATTTTTGTTCAGGAACATCTCTCTGCCATCTCTCCCTGTTCTGACCCAGCTGAGCTGGAGATCAGATGAGATCACAGCCTAGAGCCAGTGGTACAGTGCAGGGTGTAGCAGGATCCATGGTACACCCTGGGATTAGGGAATCATCCTCCTTTCTCCCCTACTTCCTTGCAGTGCCTTTCCTGATGCTGTGGCACAGCAAAAGCACAGCCTGCTGGTTTGCAATGACACTCACAATTTACATTTACGTTTACATTTCAGTAAGGGATGCTCTACAGCCATTTCCCAAGGAAGTTTTCCACAGCCCCTTATTTCTGAGCAAATTTCATTTCAAATTAAATGAGAAAAATAACCATCATATCCATATACCCCCATCTTTCTCCTCATTCCCATATCACTTCATTAAGTTTGAACAAAATCGGATTTGGCTGATACCAGGAAATTCATACCAGAGTATTTTAAGACAGTAATTTTTAGATCTGTATCAAACCAGAATGCAGGATCTGAAATAAAATATTAAAAATTCCCCTCTGACCTTACTCACTGAATGTGTATATTTTTCCTGAGCTGCCCTCTTCCCTCTGGGAACCCTTCTACTGTGAAAGATTACTCCACTCTTTTTTTTTTCCTTTTTTTTTTTTTTTGGGTCAGAAAAAAATCTTTGCAACATCAGTGACTGGATCAAATTAAGAGGTTCATCCTAGGATCTATGCTGTTTTCCATCCCTCATCTCAACCAGAACTGTGCAGCAGGGGTGGGACAGGTAAATGCAGAGTGTAAGGATCTGTTTTTACTCAACGTTCAGGTATTAAGGCAGCAAAAAGAAAATACATTCTTTCAGAGAGAAGCAAAATAACTTCATGTCACAGCATTAACTCAGTTTTTACACTTTAAGATACAGTTGTAAACTTTATGAGAGTTGCTAAAGAGAAATTACAAAAAGAATGTCTTTTAGGATCCAAAATCTTGATCCTAGAATGGGAACTTGTTACAGGGGTTTTATTAACACATAGCTCTGAGTCTCCTTGAGGCCTTAGGCAAGACACAGTAGAAATTATAGCAAAAATATAAATGTGCCAGAGAGCAGATGATCTGCAACTATTTTGTCATTATAAAGTTAAAAAGTAAATGGGATCAATAGGGAAATGTGTTGGAAATTGTAAAGCTCATAAACTTCAAATGATTGGGGAAGATGGAAGGATGGAAAGCCAGTTAACCTCTCCATTGTTTAAGAGCTGGATTTCTAGAGGGAATTAAGTATTATGGTACATGCTAAACCATGTTCTATCACCCAAGCTTTATTAAAATGTCATTCTAGGGTCCAGATTTTATCTTCCCCTATCATTGTTGATGTTTGTTTTCGTAGAGTCTTGACTTACTCCTTAATGCCATTACTGAGTAGGGTCCCTTGAGAAACTCCAATCCTCTATTTTATTTTTTTAGTTTTCTCTCCTGATTAATTCCTGATAACATATTTCAACCTTTCAATTTCTAGCACATATCTCATTTCATGTGTCATGGGAAGCAAAAAAGTATTGCTTTTTTGAGGGGGGTCTTATTTCCCCTCCTTCCCACCCTCTACATTTGACTAAATAATTTCATTTTCAGCTGAGCAGAATTACAGAAAGGTTTTGGTGTGTTGCCACAATTTCTAAGCTTGGTAAGGCTTTGGCAGCACAGACCAGGCTGACAGCTCCAATGACCACAGCAGGACTTCACAGTACTTCTCCCAAACAATGATCTAGTATCCCAATATTTCCCAGTACCAGTATCATCCACTTAGCTTTGGCTGGGGTAGGTTGACAGAAGACTGGAGAAAGCGTGTTCTACTTCAGGTTTTTGATAGCTGATAGCTGATTTGGACCTCATGCTGTGATGAAGTGCTGGATGCTGATACGCATCAAATCAAACAGCGCAGAGGTAAAACTGCATGACAGCTTAGAAAAAAAAAGTAGGAGAAATAAAAGAGAAATAAGTGATCCTTCATTTCCAAGGACTTCCGTGTCTTATCTTTCCAGAAGATTGCTACAGCTAGCTCAATTATTACTTTCCTGGGATGTCTTGTTTGCTTCCACCAGACGGAAGTAATATAAAATTATGTAAATCAGCTTTCTTGAAGTAAAGAATCATGGACCAGTCAATAATGTTTATGCATTAAGAAAGGGCAGCTCCTCCTGGAAGAAATAACACAGGGAGCCGATCATAAGTAAACATTTCTAAACAGACAAAGGGCTGGTCCCTGCAGCACAATATATTATCATATTTCCACATAATTAGTTTGTTTTCCACTTGAAATCAGAAAACGATTCGACATTGCATTCTGTGCCTCAGGATGGTGCATACAGTACAATTCTCATGTGCAGGTTCATATGTTGAATAATTAGTAAGAATTAATCTGTTGAAATTAAAGTTTGGAATATTATAGAACTCATGAATAGTGCATGGAACCATCAAGTAAATTAAACCAGAAACAGAATTTAGGAAGCCAGACAATAGCAGATGACTGCTGGCAATCTGTTTTTTAATCAGTGCGTTACAAGCCAGAGGGATGAATATTGTTACTGACTTTGGAAAATAGTGTAAAACGTTAGCAGGCACAATAAAGAAGACTTAGGAAGTGAGCACGTTTTGACTGTTTGTTAAAGAAGGACACTTCAAAAGGACCTGCTTGCTTAGATGTGTATCTGCTATCCAGGATGCTCAGATCGGAAAAGATTGGACTTACGGAGGGTCCTGTACTTCTGGTCTGCACTGCTAGTGCACTAAGGACTTCCAAGAGCTCCATCCCTGTCTGTTTTAAAGTTGTTTATGCCTATCTGAAGCCAAAAATGTGTAAGTTTCTTTTTAGTTTCTTTAAAATCACCAATTGAGTTGCTGTAAGTCTCGGGCAGCATGAGCCCAGTGTAGTGATTTCTCATTTTAAGAATTCAGAACAGCTATGCTTTGGTTCAGTTTTATTTTAAATTAATTTAACCAACATAAAGATTTTAGGTTTTTCCTTGCTTTACTGTGAATAAAGCACTGGCCATGCTTTAAAAAAAAAAATTGAGAGCAGTCAGAAAACCTGTGAGGACTAGGTTGATTCATGCTGAAATGCATATATTCCTTCCCTTGAAGGGAAGAGCTTTAAATCTACCAGCACACTTGACTTTTTCTGTTCTCTATGATCCTGTTAAATTGGAAGAGGTTTCCAGATCTATTTGAAAAATGGCCACTACAGTTAGCTGAAACTTCAATCTTGAAAATGAATGAATGGAGCTGGTCCAGTACATTGGCTCTGGACCAGTCTTTAAAATACAGCAGAACAATGAATAACTGAATTCACAGCCAGCTGGTATCATAGTTGGGCAGTGAAAGTGTCAAAATATTAGTGACTTTTTTACATTTGTCAAAATCATTGCCAATATGGGAAGCATGGGCAGCTTGCAAATGCGAATCTTACACCAAAATAGTTTTAAAATCTTGCCTTAAGAATGTGAGTGCAGCTCCTGGTTTTATCTCAGCCATCACGGAAAAGATGGAAGAGAATAAAATATCTTTTACTTAGAAGATAAAAGCTATTATTGATTTATCATCAAACATCAACTACTAATGTGGTTGAGTGGTGCTATATGCCCTGAAGGAATAATGGATCAACCGGCATTTCTGTGTCTTATTTTCTGGAGTCTAATAAGTCCATTCTAATAAGACCATCATTGGATTAATTTCTAGAATTTAGCATGTAAAATCTCCATGAAAAATAAGTATAAAATTTATTTCTGTCTATACATACACAATGTAAAGGAGAAGGAAACAGAGTTTGGCCATGCTTCAGTTCCAGGAGAGAAAAAGAAAAATAAACATATGTTAGTGGTGTCTGACACATCTTTCTGCTCCAATAATTTGAAAAATGTTTGTTTTATTTTTAAAACAAAATTTTGCTGGCATTCACTGGATGCTGCAGTTGAGACAGTTTCACTCTTTTTGGAAAGAATAAAAAAGCATCTCCATGACCGAGTTACTCCGGTGCAGCAGCACAGAAAGTGCCTGTGCTTGTGCACTCAGTTTGTCCTGCAGGAAGATGCTTGGGAATTTTCAGTGCCTACATTGTGGGTGCTTCCTTACCCCCATGGGCACAGATTCTTTTTGGGTATCAGGACTCCAGGAAGGTTTCATCAATCATCCTGTGATGAGGTGCACAGCAGCCCAGCTCTGCTCAAACCAAGACCCATCTCTCATGGAGCACAATGGATTTTCACAGAGAGTTTTGGTGACCTGAATCTGCTGACAACTTATTGATGATCTCCAAAGGCCTGATGTGCAAAAATGAGTGAACAATTAACTCTTGTGACCAGTTATATTAGGATCTATGGAAGCAATCATGGAGATAATGAACTTAGGAGCTGCAGCACTCCATCAGGAGCAGGTAGATTTGTGGGAGGACAGTGCAAAACTCCCATTGATGCATATTGGACACAAATCAAGACTCAGCTTTTAAAGTGCAGGACATACCTCCTCATTTTTTCACTTAAAAAGACTAATTTCAAAATCAAACACGTACATAGCTAGATCTATACTTTATATAGGCAAATTCACTGCAATGATTAAGAGAATCTCTTTACTGTCTCTGTGCCCAAATTTCTGATCGATTCTTTTTTTTTCCCCTTTGGAATTCATTAGTTAAGTGAATAATCTCTTTATGTTCCTTTATTAGTTATAAACTGAGAACCAGGAACCTGTTCTATTTTCCCCTGCTCCTCTGCAATGTTCTTATTTCAGCAAAGTAAGGTTTGAGCTGGAAAGTTTCCCTGAGAAGATTTTCATTTCTCATCTTGTCTGATGCAAAGTAAAGAGTATGCCAAGTGCCACTGACCTTAACTCTCCTGAATCAAAAATATCTGATGTGATATATAGAAAACTTTGATGTGTAGATATGCTAATCAGCAGAGAAATGTCAAATTTGCATACATTTCAAGTGACCCAACAATATTTACCTTAGAGCTAAGTTTCATATTTTTCTGACAATTGCAGCATTGAACAAGTGACTCATTTAGCATATCTAAGCAACATTATGTCACAGGGATTTACCTCAGAGTTGTTTGAAAGCATCAAAAAGATGAACATCACTGTCTGAAATTAACAACAAGCCTAATTTGATTTGACAAATGATGTTGATTTAGATAGGGTCACTAGCTATTGAAGATGCGGAGGACAAATAGTGCCTTGAAGCCTTGATAAAACTGAATATTTAAACAGTTCATTATGCAAATTTGCCCTCTACCTGTCAGTAGTGACTAAAGTATAGGGTTAGAGTGCTGCAGAGGCTCGGTGCTAAGGAGATGACTATTCTATGTGTACCTGGATATGCTTAAAAAAACAACTCCACAGACATTTACAAAGTGGATGTGCATCAGCCCCATCCTCCCCAGGTTTGTCAGTGACAGAACAAACAAAGGCTTGATTCTGAAAACTTTCTGCATCAGTGCAGAAAACTTCACTTTACCAAGGGAGCAGGTACATATGGACATTTTCCTTTTGTATATTAAAGGACTTGTTCTCCAAACCTTTCTCACAAGATGCATTTCTTGGGAGCCTGGTGGAGCTACCTGCATCAGCACTGGTGCTGCTCATGTGAGGATGCTGGACAGGAGCCCTGAGGTGTAAGCAGGTGGGAAAAGACCTCCAAAATCACCAAGTCCAACCCTTGGCCAAATGGCACCCTGCCCACTAAACCATAGGGACTCATGCATAAGGACCTGGGATCCACAAAGATCCAGGTTGTTTACAGCTGTGTTCTACACCTACACATAAACCTCCACTATTGCTCCCATCTGCACTAGGCCAACTGGTATCCATTAGCAGTAGAAAGAGAAAATCCTGTCCAAGATAAGACCTTGGGGTTTGAAAAAATACCTTGGAATATCATTGCCCATTCAAAACAGATGGCTTTAACTCTTTAGGGTCCATTCTAAAAATGAAATATTCTTAAATGAACCAATCTTATATTGCTCTGGATGAGAAAACACATTGTACCAAAGGAACAAAATGTGTAGTAACTTGGAGTGGATATATAAGTGTTCAGGAATAATTAACAATATTTAAATGTTCCAAATCTGCAGTACTAATAAATCCTTATTTTGAAAGGAAGTGCTGCAGAGTAATTAATCTATACAGCAGCAACTCCTTAAAGTTTTTTGGTTTTGGGGTTTTTTTTGCTATATTCATGCACACAAACTATGGTTTTAGTATTTAGTATGCTTCAATTTAGCACCACACTGTATTGCCACAGGTCAGCAGCTTTCAAGGACCACATAATGTCTGAGCAATGTTACTCTTTACAAGTTAACTTTTTGTAAGACTCTTTCCACCACATTTTTTTCAGAGCTCAGAAAAGCCCATTAGCGTAAGCCAGGCTGAATTCTGATGCAGTGCATTTAGATAACTTTATGAAAATGTCAGTTTAAGTATTGGCAAGTAGATAATATTGGAACAGTAGACAGAAGCTATTTAATTAAAGAAGTATGGGAGAGCAAGAACAATACAGAGGGCAGACTGAAGAATATCTACTCTGATCCCAGGAAAGCCCTGCCTGGAGTGAGCTATGCCCCCATGGGCCAGGGCACCTGTGCAGCAGATGAAGGATTTGGTGATTCTGTCCCAAAACCAGAGCTCCTGGTGATGCTGGTACAGAGACCAAACCAGATTCATGATCAGCACTGCTCTTGCGCACAGCCCTGTGCATGAACACAGCATACCCACCAAGGAATGGGATTTCTTAGGGCTGAGGAGCCAGGGAAATGTTTATACCACATGTGGTAGACTTGGACTAAGGTATAGTGCAGCACGTTGTGCAGACTTCCCAGCTCAGGAGCTCGTTAGCACCCAGGAATGTAAGCCAAAAGCATCACGAACCTTTTGCATGTTATGCTTTTATCATGCAATCTTATTGATTCATTTCCATGTGTTTTGGAGTATTTGTGTTTTCTTTATCCAGGTTTATCCCATCTCCCCCTTGCTGGTCAGACTAATTGGGAGATGGCTGTATTTACCATTTCACCGGATCTGAGAAAACATGCCTTGTGAGCAACCTTGATTTGTTTATAAACTACTCCCCTAACTCTGCTGAGCTTGTAAGTTCTTGGCTAATTGCTCTCATGTCCATGAAATGGGAGAAACCCAAGTCTGAAATACATGGAAACAATTAGGGCAGAAAAAAAAATAAATAAAGGCTTTCCCTGTAAACAGATGTCTATGCCAAGATACCCTACCTAGAGCAACTGGCACGTGGTATGTTTGCAGATGGATCCACAGTAGGATCTAGCCACTTATATTTAGCATGCAGTGTTATTTGTTTTAGCTTGCCAGTGAGCAATAGGCAGGAGTTGGAATGAGAACCCATCATTTTTGCACAAAGTGCACCAGTACCACCCCAGTCACATACCTTAACTCTTAATTATTACAAATGCAGCAGCCATTACAGGAATAACGCCTCTTTTTCTTCAAAGTTGTCTGAGAAGAGCATAGGTAAGATGATTTTTAATGTGCTGTCTCATTATATAGTTTGAGATGACATTTTGTTCTTTACATGTGGAAAAATATAAAGCAATACAGCAAAGTGTTCCAGCCTGTTTCATTATGTTGGTAATTTCCACTGCATGGATTTACTGTAAACTCTGGTTAGCATGCATGAAGTAATTCAGCAGTCTGAAGGCCAGGAGGGATCATTTGTGCATCTAGTCAGATCCTCCTCCATAAACTGTGTCACAAAATTTCTCGATCTTCATCCACTATCTGTACTCTGCCTTCTTAGTGAGCTAAAATGGAAGAAAATCCTTTTGAAGATTTGAAGCCTAAAAATTATGAGAAAAATCTATTATCCTTTTTCTACATATACTGTTCAAAGGTCAGAATTAGTCACTGTACTTTCAAATTTTTTCCCCATTTGAATGCATTGATTACAAAATCAGAGTTGTCTTTAGACTGGACATAATTTAAAGCTGATGCAGGACTCATGAAGCAAAAAGCTATTATTTTTTATGAGACGAAAAATCACTTGAAGGGAATGAGAGCACTGAAATGTCAGAAGACATGGTCTTTGGGCTTAGATCCAAAAGGAATGGCTACATTTCCATGACCCACAAAGCAAGCATAGATGGTCATATTGACCCTAAAATAACCAACAAGTTTACAAGCTGAAGCCTTGGAGGGGTTCCTTTAGCACAGTCTTGTTATTGTTTGATTCTTGCCAGTTTACATATGACAACATTAATATTAAGGTCTCTTTCTTATAAGAAGATGTTCCAAGCACTAATTATTATCAAGATATTTTTGTCTTTATGAAATCATAAGTCAAAATACATTTTCTGGTAAAAGGAGGGTGACTGAAGCAACAGTTTTGATGGAAAAACTAAAAGCCTAGTCATTTATGTATATATTTAGATGCAGAGTTCATTCTCTCTTGTTCTGCTGAACAAGCATGTCTGCAATCTCTGTATGAAAATGAAAAGGCTGCTTTAAAACATTTCAATATTTCTGAGTTATTGCAAATGCCACAATCCAGAAATCAATAATTGAACCAACTTCAAGCAGTGCTGATTTTGTTAAGAACCCAATTCTCTTTTTCCAAGCATTTTTATTCAAATATCATTAATTTAATGACTCAAAGTGACTGTATGGGTTTATTTTTGTAAATCATAGTATCTTAAAAGCTGATTGAGTGTTTTTGACTTCTCTTTTCCACAGGACAGATTCTTCAAGTTCTGCTAAATATACCCAGTGCTATCTCATACACATTCTACCTTTCTGAGACATTTTAGGGTGCCTTATGCTGCAGTTGCTTTAATACTTGGTGTTACACCTCCAAGAATAGGCAGGATAGGTAAGCAAACATTTATTCAGATTTGAATAACATCAGAAAAATGTGGTCTTTCACCATTTCTGGAGCTCTCTGGAAAATTAAGTTTTTCTCTATAGAAATGCCAGTAATGGTAGCTCATTTGAGTATTTTGTAAGGGATAAAGATGGAAATATATTATTAGAATATGGGTTTATAACTTCCTTGCTTTGTGAAGGTTTAAAGGTCTGTGATGGCTTGTGAATAAATACAGCTAAATAAATAGGTTTCCTCATTAGACTTTATTTCTTACTAGAGGAAATCGAAATCACACACAATTTTTAAATTAAAAAAAAAAATTAAAGAAAGGATGTCTCAATTGTGAAAAGAACAAGCAACTGACAAATACCAGGAGGATGAACAGCAAGCAGTGGTCTTCAGAATATTCCTGGAATGAATATCATTCTGGTGACTGGATTGCTGCCAAGACTTTTTATTCTGTTTTAAAAAATGCATAGACTAGGAGAGTCATAAAAGAATGTTTTGTCTCTGGAATATGCTGGAACAAAAGCCAGATATGCTTAGGCTTTGACATGGACATTCATCATGTCCCAGGCTGAATCAGTTATTAATTCTGAAAGTATTAAATATGAAATGGGCTGAGTGTCTAACAAGTCTGCCATGTTGTTCAGTTATAACTAAACTGTTGAGACTGATTGAATTTTGAGAAACATCCTCCTGTATATTAAGTTGTGTGAACTCAACCAAGCAACCCCTTCAGTCCCAGTCTCCATAGGGACCTGCACCACTTTGCCTTACAGGGTGAAGCTGAAGCACCAGGGTTATATTCATTGGCATGGAAAGGTTTTCCACACACAGAGAACAAGCTCCACACGAAATTCATAGAAGCTTCTCATTCTGAAAGCTTGCTCAGCCCTGGCTTCCTCCTGCTGGCCAAATTGACATCTTCCCATGAAGGCTGCTGTAATCAGAGTGTTGGAACAACATCACAAGGGTTCAATACATCCTCCACCTTTTCAGCTGCTTCTCTCTAGCCCTTCAGACCATGTTCAGGGACACACATGCAATTATTTCTGTTATTTAGTTACACTCTTCAGCAAGTAGCTGGCTCACAGTACTGACTAAAATAGATGTAGCATTATTATATCTTACAGTGCTTAGAAACCCACCAGTATTTATTGTAATGGTTGTGTGAGCAGCAGTGCTGTGAAATTCTGAAGTTGCAGCATCGAGCCACTTCCACAAAATCTGTATTTAAGTGCCATTTCATTTTCCATTGCTATGTTTGTGCTGCATTAAAGAGAAAAACAGAATACTCCTCCAGCTGTTCATCAGCACCACTGCTTATCACCAAGAGAAGCTTCTTGGGAGGGGAAAGGCTACAGCTATAGCTCATAGTATCATATAGAGGATACAAGAATTCTTAAGGATATTCACCATACTAACAAAAGAATTCAGTATTTTTTAGTCTTAAATGAAGAAAAGTCCTTGTATTCAAGGGAAAAACACATTTTCATAGTCTAAAATATTGTTAAATGTGTGTTCCTGCATTCCAGTTTTCAACATAAATGCATATCCCACAAAAAAAGTATTCATAGACAGACAGCTGAATGCTTTATTAAGCTCCCAACTTAGACTGTCTTCAGACACTAAAAACAGAAGGAAAAAAAAACAACAAGCCACAAATCAGGTTAAGTCTTGATTAAGAGCTGATCAAGAGGCTCTGTTAGGCTCTCTAGGAGCAGAGAAGGGACAGTTCTTGTGCAGAAAGACTTCTATGTGAAAGCCATCATGAGGCAAAGAGATTACAAAGCATAGGAACTAAAAAATAGTTGGGAAAGTGCCCAAGGGCCTAGGCTCTACCATCTCATGGACATCCCAGGATCTGACCTGATTTTTTGAGTCTTGCATTGATGGCAGTACAAAGCCTCCTGCATTGTTTTTTATTCCTCCCTTGTAGGAAAATCTCCACACCAAGAAGAGTGTCCTTCTCCTTCCTCCTGCCCCCGTTCCTCCTGCCAGAAGTATTTTCTCAGAATGGGAAAAACCATACATATTAACACTGCCTCAGACTGCATTACCAGAGGAAAGTGCCTTTTGAACCATGAATTCCTGATACTGAAGATCATCCGCCAGAAAAAGCCTTCAGCTTTACCTCTGACATTCAAAGCTTTTGTTTATTCCACTAAGCGTGCATGTAATTTTTTTAACTCAGAGAAATAGAAGACAAATGTTGTCTGATGCCTACCCAATGGAATAAAGAAGATGGGAGAGGCTAAAAGGATGTTTATGCTGTTCTGTGTTAAATTGAAATGATATTCTGGTATTTCCTCTCAGTTTTAACACCATGATAGCAATAAAATAGCTGGAGCCTCAGTATTTCTCCTCTCTTCAGCTTGGGGCTGTGGCTGCATCCTATCTGTAGCATTTTAGCTGCTCAAAATGATCTTCAAAACCAGTTTGTCTAAATCCTTACTGGTTTTGTGTCCTGCCCCTCACCTGTATGATCAGAAGCTTGTTTTATTTAGCCCATTATATACCAGACCTGTTTGGCAGAGGGTATGCTCTGCATGAAGAGGGAATCCTTACAGAATTTCTGCATAAACTCTGATTTATTGTCAGAATAGGCTGAAATAAGTCACCCTCAAGCCAGATATGAGCAATTACATACAAATAAGAAATATTCTAACCCAGTTAAGTTAAAAATCACTCTATTAAACCAGTGCAATTTTCCTTCTAGACGAGGCCTACTAAAATTTGCTACGCTGTTTTAAAACTATTTTTTAATACTTTGGGGCAAGCAGCTTATATATCCAGTGTGTGGCTAATATTAATGGCAGAGCAGTAAATCCCTCACCAGGGAGTTTGTGGAAGTGCTGATATATCCATTACCAGCACTGGAAAGTGCTGCCAGGCTCTTCTGTAATTACAGCTTCTTCAAAGGCAGAGTACATCATTTGGTCTGCAGAGAGAAGCAGTGAAAGCCAACACAAGAGGAGACTGACTGATTTCAGAAGTCCTGGTGCCAAGGGCATGAGTACTTTGGTATCCTCACACAGGTCCCACTGCAGGGGAGAAGAGCAAATACCCCTTCCTACCTTTTCCACCGCTTTCCTGCTCTTCTTCCTCCTTTGTTACACCCACTTGTTCTTTTGCAACCCATGTTTCCCCAACACCCATTAACACAACAGTCATGCCATCCCTCTATATAGCATTTCCATCTGTAACTCTCAGAGTGTTTTGCAAAAGGCAATAAACAAGCTGCTTCCTCCACCCAAGGTCACCCAGAAGGTCAGTGCTGAGCCCAGGAACTGACCCCAACCCCTCAGGACCCGCACCAAGGATAGGACATGCTGTACCACTCACAGCCACCTGTTAGGGAACACCACAGCCTGAGGAAGAGCTGAGCTCTTACAGGGTGCTTGACACTACTCCTAATCATGTAAAAATAATGAAAACTATTTTCTGTCCATTTGAGGCACTTGCAAATTACCATTCACTGTCATATCTAAGTGCCAAACACTATCAGGCATACTGACAGGCTTTGAAGGCTTCCAAGATGAGGTGGTATTAATACAAGCCTGTCTCACTACAGTACCACAAGAATTATACAGTAGATACTGAAATGTTGGGCTCTGTGAGTGTAATTTTGTTCCTTGCAATTGGTAGGAACAGAGCCTCGGATTGGAGCAAGACTGCTGTGACAGGATTATTCAGCTCAGCACCATCACACCCCTGTGGGGTCATCCAACATAAAGATGTTTTGGTCATGTCCCACAACTCAAGGGCAGTGGGTAACATCGCACAACATCCCCAGGAATAAGTAGCTGCTCCCAGATGAATGTCTGGCTTTCTGCTGACATGACATTCAGATGAATTTTGGTATTACAGACCAGATAAAAACATTGTGCTGCTGGCCTGTGTGTCTGTCTTTGCACTGCAAACCGCCAAGGAAGAAAAGCTTCCTGCTTCATATGGAGGAGAAAATGGTCTCCCACACTTCTGGTCACTGCCCAGGGTACCAGAATTCATAAAAATGCATCACAAACTTTCTAATTCTGCAGGCAGACATCAGGGGGAAATGAATAGCAGCGGATGGGAACTTGGGACCCACAGTGGCTGTGAGTATCACTGCTGCATGATGGCATCTGAAGAGGAATGAGGGGGAAAAAAAGAAGGGAAGAAAGGCTCTTTATCATGAAAGAAACTTCCACATTTTGCCATCTTGGATCTTAGATACTGAATCCATGTTCCTGTAGTACTGAGTCTTAAGAGGGTTCAAGGAGCAAGGGCTTATTTTGAGCACATTACACTTGTTTTTGTGCAAGACAACATTTTCCACTCTGTTTCAGATATGACCAGCTGTTGTTGGGAAAGAACTACTTTGGACTGTGATACAGGAGTTAGAAATGCTATTCTACTTTCTGATAAGGTTAGCAAAACTCAGGATAAATCAAACTCTTTGCATTTTTTTATTTACACATTAACTGAATAAATTCAGTGATTCCCAGATTAAAGGGTATGTGATTCTTTCTCTAGCTTGTGACAAAATTCTGCCAGCAAGCAAGCAGGAGCAAAAATCTCCTAGACACTGTCAGTTATTGCATATTTAAACCTGTGACTGACATGGGCATGAGTCACTACATATCAGAAAGGCTCCTTTTTGAAAGCTCTGTGTGTGTGTGATAGAAGTTAAAGGTAAGCAAATACTTCTCAATAATGAAAGCATAGTTTTGGGGGTTTTTTCACCAGACTTAAATAATTTTAGTCTTGTTCTATCTTAAGGAGAAATCTGACCAACAGTTTATTACCAGCAGATCCACAAAGGGGGATTAAATAATATAAAATAGGGAAAAATAATCCAAAATTCAGCTATACAGTCCTCCCCAAATCCCCCACAGCCAAAAATAACTGATCAACCATCCTATATAACTTCACCTCTAATATGTCTAATTCCTTTTCCTTTTCAAAGCCATGGATTGGAAGTGTTTTTTTCCAGCAGCATTTGGAGCACCACTTAGGTCTAAAAAGCATAAACCTGCAACCCAACTACAACATGTAGTTGCCTAAAAATATGCAGAATAGGTGAAAAACATCACCAGCACAGTGTAGTTATATAATTACTGTATTTTGGACAAATTGCTGAGTACAGGATGAAAGGCAATGTATCAGCACACTCTCTCCCACCTGAATCAGATCTTAACTAGAAATTAAGAATTTTTTTCAGGTTTGAGGGTTTTTTGGTGATTTTCTTTTTTCGTGCCATTTAATCCAGAGAGCTGTCTTTCAGACATGGCCACCCAATTCAGACATGGTCAAACTACTATTTTAAGTTACAGAATATTTAATGAAACTAAACAGGATAACAAGCAATGAATTTCTACTCAGTCCTTAGTGGAAAGCTCTCTCCAAGATAAGCATCACTTTGCACTACTTAGCATTTCAGGCAGATAAAGCAAGGATTGAACACACCTCCACACAACCAAAAAATGCTTTTGAGACTCTGCTTAAGTCTCAGTTGCTCCAATACTGCTTTTGGCCTCTTTCATTTTCTGCCAATGAACTTGGGCCAGGAGCTGGAAGCCTGTCAGGTTTTAGAAAGCAAAAGCAAAACATATCCATGCTGGGCAGCTGCAATTGATTCTCTTGTGACTCTTCCCAAAGATGACTCACACGCTTCAGTTTGTTCATGCTTTGACAGAGCAGAGCATGAGCAAGTTCCTCCTGGTGATCCATGAGCTGACCTGCTGTGTGCTGCTGGTTATCATTCTCCCAGTAAAGCCTCCCTTGGGCTGGAGCAGGGTTTTGTGGGTATCACTTCTTCCCTTGCACACCACCACAACACCCAGGCTCAGAACTCAATGCATCTACTGGCAATGCAAGTGGCTGCATGTTCAGGGAACGATGCTTTAAGGAAGGGGTCACCAGATGGCCATTCCTTGTAGCTTCACTTGACCTTCAGCGAGCACTGCTGTGTCCTACGCCGTGCGGCACTGCGGAGCTCCAAGGCACAGTGTAAGATGCATTAGTAGGTCAAACACTTACTTGGCTGGAGACCATTGTGGAACTATTTATTATGGCCAATTGGGGCAGATTGCACTGGGCAGGGATGTGCTATAATAAGCACATTAATGCTAAGTGTCACATGCCAAGATCTGACAAAAAGGGGTGAAGAACATCAGTTCATACTTCACTCATCTGTTTTTCCTGGGTAACTGCACAAGAGGATTAGAGAGTTTCTGCCCATTCTACATCCAACCTGCTGAAAAAGAATCAGAAACCTTAATTTCCCAGCCCAAAATTCACTCCAAATCCACCCAATCTGATTCAGTTGCAGTCAGAAAAAAAATCCTGACTGAACTACATAGGGTTAAGCACTGGCCAAAATATCAGCAGAAGCAGGAGGCTTGGGTGCTTTGAAACTCTGTTCAACATATGTCTGAAGGATTTTTGGGACTGCACAAAACTGTAGTAAAAGAAAAGATTGGCAAGGCAGATGTTCGTTGTTTACTGACCCCTGATGAAACCTGCCCTTTCCTTTACCCATTTGAGATGTTCAATAGATACGTTGGTGCTGATTTTTAAACCATGTGCTGCCAAAAATCTGGTGTATTTCTACGTCCCTGAGAGTTTGAAAACAAGAAGTACACTAGACTAGTGTGAAAACACACTTCCTTATGGCAGGTTTATAAGCTGATCACTGGAAATGAATTTCTTGCAAAGTAACATGTTGAAAACCATGACAGGCTCATTGACAACAAGCAAAGCCCTCACATTTCTATCTCAGGAAGAGGGTCAGTTTGCAGAGCAGGCACCAAACGATTGTTTATTGGAGCTTTTGCAGAAAAAAAAAGGAAATTTTGCCTTCCGGGTATTTATGTGGAAAAAGCTGATACTGTCGCAAACACAAATAACACAAAAACAGGACTGTGAGAACTCCCAAGCACACTCAAGCTTTCCTTTCCACGCCATTTTTCTATATGGCTAACATGGCAACCTTGGAATCTCAGCCAACGTGGTAACACTTCCGACTTTGGAAGAGACCAGCGCTTTGCTTTGCTTGATTTTTCCCCACCTGTCAGGCATGTCTTGTCCAAGAATATTTCCCAAGCAGCTGAAGGGATGGAGGTGCAGACATGACAAACACAATAATGAAGATACTTTCTAGAGCAGCTTCCTAGAATTGCTGGGGCAGCAGCAAGCGATAACCCTCGGGACTCTCATTCATGGGAAGCCAACACCATGGTGGTCCCAGATGGAGTAACTCAGCATTTCTGAAGTCACAGGCACTATTTCTATCACACATTCACACCCTGCTTTCATAGTCACACTTGTCCTAGCTTTCACTTATATTTCCAGGTCTTGTGAATGCCAGAAAATAACCCCCACACAGGTAGTGTGTAAAGTTGCTGTAAATGGGGCACAACCTAAGATCTAAAAACCTGCAGAGCAAACTGGTATTAAGTGACATCCCATTAGGGAAACCTCCAACATCCCATGCATCCCTGGAATCAGCCTAGTCATGGGAGTACACATATCAGCAACTCAGGTCTCATGCTACAGGACATGCAAGACTCTCAGCTTCAGAACACAGGTGTCTGAGTAGCATATCAAGCTCCACAAAGGACCACCAATATGGTTAAACATGATACACGGTGTTCTATTTCAAGTGGTGCATGGCGCAGACAAAGTAGCTTCTTTCAGTAACACTAACTAGATTAAAGGAATTATCATTCCATACATTATGGAACAGCAGAAATTGATGAAGAGTGGGTCTCAAAATCCAGTGGTTTATTATACTACCAACAAACTCTTTAGCAGGGAAAGCCATTAAACAAAGTTATGGACAGGGCAAAGATGCGTGGAATACTGAAAAGAGCAAAGAAAATATGATGCTTGGCATCCCTGGAGTAACCTGGAAAAATCACAGGGGGAGAAAGAAAGCAGGAGTTCAGAGAAAGCAATTTGTCAGTCCATCACTTTTAATACATCTTGCAGTCTTCACAGGAAGCTCAGCTGATGGCCTTTGCTGTATTTTTAACAGAATACAGGTGTCATTAATGCTCGGTGTTCAATAATGTGAAATATCACAGACCCATGAGGGGCTGAGCTGACAGGGAGGAGAGGAGCCAGGGAAAGCCTCAGCACACAACAGAGCTCAGAGGAAACTCAGTGCAGCAGAGATGACTTTGCAGCAAATATTCCTACAAAAGTTGCTACTGCATCTTCATCAGCAAACTCTAAACCTGTCTCTTTGTGAAAACCAGAGAGAAACATGCCTTCAGTAGGAATCAAGGACCCTCCATCTATCCTGTGACTTGAAATCACCGTTCTTCAAGAATAAATCCTTGCTTTGCCCAGAGTGGCCCATTTCCTCCAGGATCACAAACTCCAGCAAGTTTCTCTTTCCACGGAGGTAGACTAACAAAGGAACGCTGCAGATACTCCAAGATCCTGAGCACAGACCTTAGAGACACCAAGTGCCTCAGACAAACCAGGTGGAGGGGTGGTTGTCACAGACAAGGACACCCCCCAAGGCAGAAGACTCACCTCACAATATTGAGGAGACATCAAAATAATGCAGGACAAATGAAATTAAAGAATCTATACCAAGAATAACATTTCCAGCAGTCTCCCCTCAATATAGCAAGTACAAGCCCCAGCAAGAAATTACTCTGGGCAACAGCAAGAAGCACCAGGGAGACTTTTTCCTATTCCAATTTCAACAGGTTCATCCCTCATACAAGCAGGGGAGCTCCCTGGTTTTTAATGGATCAGCAGACAGCTACAATACCCAGCCCACTGCTGTCACATGCAGGAAGGTTAATTGTAATTACACAAGTGAAGTTTCCTGATAAATGTATCTGGGGATCTGCCATTTGGCTCATGCTTTTTGTATTTTACAG